GATCATGGACTTAACATGTTGTCAAGATGGATCCTCAAATATCAAGGCTACAGAAAGAAGTCAGATAACTGAGTATCTTTAAGTCCTTCCTAACTACTGGCTGCTAGGAAAGTTTCCTCTAAGCAAATAAATTTAGTAGCTCAAATGTGAACACAAAGTTGGGATTTAGAGCAAAAAAAAAAAAAAAAAATTAAATTACATGTTCTGACAAAGAAAAAACAAGGCTCCCAAAACAAATATAAAGAAGATGAGGAGAGCAAAATGACTGATAGTTGTGTTGCAGGTATGAATTAATTAGGTATTATTTATTGAAAACTGACTAAGTTGGATATGGTGGTATAGTCCTGTAAAAAATAAAAAGTTATAACTGACCTATTAAATCAATAAATAAAAATTTGACTCACCCATGAAAGAAAAATACTTCCAAATTTATTCAAAGTAGGACTCAACTATACTTTATAGAAAACATCTAAGTGAAGATAATAAAGGGCTAAGCAAAGGTATATCAAGTACATGGAAGTGATAAGGAAAGAGAAATATACTACTAACAAGAACTAAAGATAAAAAGCATTAATAGAGTGCTTCTTTAAATACTAAAAGCCACAATTAAGAAGGAATTGAAGATTTATCCTACCATTCTCAGCCTGAGACAGATCAGTATACAAAACATAATGAAGATATTGAAGACAACATAACAAAGAGGGTAGACATTGTGGGTATATTTTGAAACTATACACTCTGAACAGAGTACTTCTTAATCAAATACTTGTGTGGCATATTCACAAACACTGACCATATTAGATAACAAAGAAAACATTAATACATTCCACTAATTTACAAGTATTACAGATATAAACATAAAAGCAGAAACCAATGATGTGAAAAATAAAAAATCAGCATAATAAATAAAAATTCTACTGTGTAAAAGATGAGATAGACAAGGAGTAGTGCTCTAATTTGGAATTGGCATGGCTCTCAAAGGTTTTGGATCTCAAAGCAACAGTGTTCAGACATAGGGCTTATGGAAGATAGAAGGTGACTACATCATTAGAGCTCTGACCTCATCAATGGATCAGTCCATTATTAAATTCATAATGTGATGGCAGATCTAGTGGGAAGAACTAGGTTAGTGGGTCATGCCTTGGAAAGGTACACTCCCTTTTTAGCTACCACAAAGGATATACTGCCTCCTCACAGAAACAAAGCAACAGAGCCAATTATCTATGTGGTTTACTTTAGGTAATTTTGTTATAGTTATGGGAATCTAGAATACAGCTAACTTAAAAATAAACACAGTCTATAAAATAAGAAATAGTCAAGTGGGTATAGTGGCACAGGCCTTTAATACCAGCAGTCAGGAAGCAGAGCTTTTTTTCTTTGTCAGACCATGTAATGTAATATAGGGATTTCTAGGATTTCCAGGCCAGCATAGTCTACTACAGCAAGTTTCAGTTCAGCCAGGCTATAGTGAGACACTGTCTTAAAAGGAAGGGGGAAGAGAGGTAATCACTCAAACACAATGCTTTTTTAAAAAAAAATTTTAAGAAACCATGTTCCAGACTTCTATGTAAATATTTAAAGTTGGATGAAATGAATAACTTTGTAAACAACAAAAAACGAAATTTACAAAAATGCATTGCATTAAGGAATATGCTTTAAAAGACAAACTTCCCTAAAGAAAGAAAGAAAAAAAACTTAGCAAGGAACTATGCCACAATAGCATATTTTTAGGTGGTTTAAATCTGGGTAATGGCAGAAAAACAACTATACATAAAAATGTAGGTTTCCTTTACTAATCTCACAGATAAGAAATATAAACAATTTTACTAATTCACCATCTAGAAGACATACTGAAAAACTAAACATGGAAACAGAAACTCATCTTTAAAATGTAGCTCAGTAGAGTATGTTCTTTTTCTCTTCTTGGGTAAATACCAATGTGATTGACACACAAACCAAGGAAGAATAGCACATAGGGTATTTAAACTGCAGTTTGAAATACAAGTTTTACAAAAAAGCATGAAAGTCACAGAGGCAGGAAACTATAACTCCTGCCTACCTTTCCCTACAGCATCAACAATTATTAAACATCTTAAGACATAATGTTTATCTCAAATTCCCTTTGGATGATTAATCTAAAATTGTTTTTAATTCTGTAAGATCAGTAACTTTACAACTAAAAAGGCCATTTCTGCTAAGAATTAACGCCATGCTCCATAGTTAGCAAATACTGGTGATAACACCTTTTTGTCCAGGGGAGGGAAAATCCAATTTTTAGAAATTCATGTGCCCAATAAACTCAAATCCACCTTTTTAAAAAAAATGTGTATTTTGAGAATGTAATAAATTCCCCTTATAAACAGTAAGATTCAACATCATAGTTTCAGAAAATTTAGAATATGACACATTTTCAGGATCAACAGATACATTTTAAAACCACTCCTCCCCTCCCCTCCACACCCCCATTCCAGTATCTACTAGCTTATTCTACAAAGCAAAGCTGCTTCATGCAAGCATCCACTAGAAACCAGTGCCACCACCTGTTCCTAAAACAGGATAGTAAGAAAGCTAGAGGTGACTAACAAACACACTGTACAGGAAGGTGCTCTACAACTACCGGCATGCAGTGACTGTCAAGCAGGTGAACAGAGGCTACAACACCAAAAGGAGTCAAAAGCTCCAAGCAGAAAGCCTAACTTCCTGGTTCATCCCAGCAAGAGTTCCCAGTGTGAATAGTATTCTCTATCACCAAAAGAACTAAGGATTGTTACAAAAGAAACTCTCAGGAACAAAGTAGCAGTTATAAAGTGCTAAGTTCGTCTATAAATACATCTATATAAACTAGATAAAGCTGTATTTTTCAGTAAGATTTTTTGTTCCGTTATATAATTTTAACTATTATATATATGTTTAACTATATATATATATATGTATGTATGTATTTCATTATACATAACTCAAATATAGGGCACCTTTATAATAGTTACTAAACCTACAGTCAAGAGATCTGAGTTCTACTTATACACATTAACAGAGCAGTACAGATCATTTCCAACTTCTACAGTCTTCATTTTATAACTCATTTTGTTTTATCAGGGAACATGTCATGCATTTTTTTTGTCTTTGTTTTGTCCTCCACAGAATATCAAAATTACCACTTAAAACTAAGTCTAGCCTTCCACAAGAGATAAATACAATCAGAATATTTTAGAAATTTGGAGAAATTCTAACTGGGTCTAAACATGGTTCAAACATCTTATAACAGTTCAAACCTCAAATATGTAATGACCCAAAGATCATCATAAAAATCTTCCAAAGTGAATAGATATTAAAGATTGAGAGCCAATTTATATGGGAAATTAACTATTTCATCAGCCATAATGTTTTAGTTCCTCTTAGATTTATTAGGTCTCTATACTATTCATTTCCTAGAATAATCAGAGAACACAATGTGTATGTGTATTTCTACTTTTTCTAGACAGGGTCTCACTATGGAACCCTGGATGGCCTGACCTGACACCATATGTAGAACAAAGTGGCCTCTGTCATCCAAGAGCTAGGATTAAAGGCATAAGTAACCATGTCTCGCTATATGTTTTTCAGGTTTTTTTTTTTTTTTTTTTTTTTTTTTTTTTTTTTTTTTTTTTAAGACTTCTTTTTGAGTTTCTCAGTAAATCTGGAGCTTAGCCACTTGGTAAAGCTGCCTAGCCACAGAGACCCTAGGATCCTCCTATTTCTACCTCTCAGCTCTGAGATTAAAGGCTCATACCAGCATACTTGGGTTTTTACATGGATGCTAGGTGTCTAAACTCAGGACCTTGAGCAGCAAGAACTTTACATACTAAGCCATTATCCCAGCCCCAAGAATGAAACCTTTTACCCTAAGATATCTATAAATACAATCAAGCATGCAATATGTTTAACCCAATTTTGGTCCAGAAAATAAAGTTATATTCTAAGCCAAAATGAGTATAGTTTTATTCAAACTCAACTTCAATGTTATAATTCCTGATTAATACAAATTCACACCATACACATCCTTCTGTTTGTCTGGGTTGGTCCAGGATGACACATTTTGCTCACTATATCACAGATGTCTGCGCTTTGGTGGAGATCAGGCCAGAGCCTTGCATGCACATGCTTGTTTCCTTTAGTGTTTTTAAGACAAGGTTTTGCTTTCTGGTCTAGCCTGGCGTTCTTTCAACTATTTAAGTTCATGTTGGTATCAAACCATGGCAATTCTTGTGCTTCAGCCTTCTAAATACGCAACTACATCCATCTTTGAGACATCTTGGAGACATGGTCTCACTGTATATAGTTCAAGCTGGCTTTGAACTTGAGATAACTGTGTTCCACCATGCCCAATTAAATTTTATAAAGTGCACATTTCTTTACTACTGAACATAAAGGAGAGCATAGCAACTTTAAACCTTCCCCTACCCCTAATTTTTAAATGAATAATCTTTCAGTTAAAGTCAGAATTTATTTAAAAAGTATCTTACGCTATATACCAGGCCAATAAACTCTCACCAGTAAGTCAAACATAGCTCATTGCCCAGCTCTGCATATTTATTAGAAATGTCTTGCCCATTTTCATCTTCTTGTCTGTGATTGCTTTCACATGATAGTGGTCAAGTTAGGTAGCTGTAAGCAACAGAGACTATGATCTACAAAGTCTAAAATATTTATTATCTGGCCCTTTATAAAAATAAAAAACTAAGGATTCCTAAGGACCTTTTAAAGTAAAATAGTCAACATTTCTACATCAGTGCTAATTTAAATCATCTTAATTTTGCCTAATTTATCATTTGATATATATAGTTAAAGTGCCCCTTATTTGAGTACTATTAAATTAGACTTAGCTTTGTTACTGTGTTCACTGAGGCTTCTCATGTACAAGCCATTACATGGAAAAAAGCTGTGAAGGTTAGCTTTAGATTAGCAAAGACTACTCCAAGATCTGCTTGCTGTTTTATTTTTCTTATTGCTGCAAAAATTACCATTTCGGAGTCACTGTGAGAGGCCTGACCCAGGCTGGATACAGGCCCTAGCTCAGAGTGAGAAGCTTGGTCAAGGGAGAGAAGGGGCTCAATAATGTCATCGTAATCATCTTCCTCTGTATCCCCCTCCCCATCGGCAAAAGTACCTCTAGTCAAGAAATCGGAGCGCGTCCGCGCCATTCGAGCTTTCTTTTTATGGGCCGGTCTGGCAACCTGCTTGACCAAATGATAAAACAAATAACACAACAATGTTTTGTTTTGTAATTTGGGAGAAGACGCCAATGAAAGAGGGCTCATGAATGTCTGGAAACTTCCCTCCACCCCACCATGCCCTGTCTACTAGCAGAAGTAACAGGGATGACCAAAGAGAATCCATACACATTACTGTGAACAACAGATAACGATGGACACTAAGTCTACACTGTTCTCCATAGTGAACTAAGTCACCGTTCACTGCCACAGGTCTCACTAGACACCTGAACAAACTGTCCTTTTTTGCCTTAGTGACTTCTTTCTTTTATATAATTTGTATTTTTAGACACCATTCCTTGCCTAGTACACACCTTCCTAATTATAAAAGGCTTAGTCTATAGCTTCTTTCTCTAAAATCATCTGTGAATAAATGGGTAGATATGGTGTTCTACCTACAAGAATGGTAACTTCCAAAATAATGTACACCTATTGAAATTAAAAGATAAACAGAATATAATACTTACCTCTCGTTGGCCCGGCCCTGCTAACTTAGATTTCCAAGCTGGTTCATCTTGTTTGTGGACTTGAGGATTTTCACTATGTACACTTCAAATAAAATAAACAGGATTACATCTCAATTTCTAGTAGAGATTCCACTGAAGTATTCCTAAAGCATAGTAAGAATTTTGTTTTGTTTTTGTTTTTTGAGACAGTGTCTCTTTATGTAGCCCTGGCTATCCTGGAACTCATCAAGCAGATCAGGCTTGCCTTAGAAATCTTCCTGCCTCTGCCTACTGAGTGTTGGGATTAAAGGCATGTGCTACCACACACAGCTATGAATTGTCAAAGAAACCTAGCAAATTCTATAAATAATTTCATATCTTAGTCAATTCCAAAATTGGACTTATTATAATCTTCATAGTCTCTATGTGTGTATATATGTGTATTTGTGTATACAGGTGTGTGCACATGCATGTATGTAAGCAGTTACACATGTCTGTGTGTTATTCTGTGGAAGCCAGAGGACAACACTAGATGTCCTACTGTGTTATTATCTGTCTTGTCACCATTAGACAGGATCTCTCACTGAACCTAGAGCTTACTTTTTTTGGCTACACTGACTGGCCAGCAATCTCCAGTAATGCTCTGTCTCCTGGTCTCAATGCTCCTGGCCTCCAGAACTAGGGTTACAGTATGAGCAGCCAAACTCAGCTTTAATGTGGATTCTAAAGATCCAAACTCATGTCTTCATGCTGTGCTTATCCACTGAGCCACCTCCCAAGTCCCCAGATTTTTTTATTCTTACACAATCAATACTATAATCAAGAATCTACATGCATGATGAATATGATAATCATAAGGTACATTACACTATGCTGGCATATTTTTAAGAAAGGCAGCAACAAAATTAGTTAAGAACCAAAGTGAATTCAATAACGAGAAAATAAAAATTCTAAATCCCTCACATCTTTAGGATACTTGTCTTTTTTTTTTTTGGTTTTTTGAGACAGGGTTTCTCTGTGTAGCTTTGCGCCTTTCCTGGATCTCGCTCTGTAGACCAGGGTGGCCTCGAACTCACAGAGAGTTTGATTAAAGGCGTGTGCTACCACCACCCGGCTAGGATACTTGTCTTAAAAAGGCTTTTCATATAATCATTTTATATATGATAGTAATAAGGATCTTGTTTTACTTTGGGATGGTTCCTATTGGTTAGAAAAAAAAAAAAAATCACTTCCTGAACTCTTCTAAGTTTTCATTCACTATCTTAACTTTAAAACTTGAGGTGCCAGGTGGTGGTGGTGGCAGCGGTGGCAGCGGCGTCGCACGCCTTTAATCCCAGCACTTGGGAGGCAGAGCCAGGAGGATCTCTGTGAGTTCAAGGCCAGCCTGGGCTACCAAGCGAGTTCCAGGAAAGGCGCAAAGCTACACAGGGAAACCCTGTCTCGAAAAAACAAAAAACAAAAAAAACCAACAACAACAAAATAAAAATAAAACTTGAGGCAATGTAAAATAATACTAACAATGGCAGGATATGAATTGTCATTAAGTAAAATGAAGTATTCTACAAACAATACAGATACTGTAGTGTTGGCTTGTGGAACGTTTCATTTTGTCTGAAAAATTCAAGGACAGGACTGCTTTATTATTAAGTTCTATGTAGAAAGAGTGTCAGAATCTGATGATAATTTGAACAGTACCTAGATTTTTGTGGCACTAATTATTTTGATTAATTCAGTATTATGTTTTAAAATTCATCTTTAAGATTACAAACTCCTTGCGAATCATGACTTAACTACTAGCATCAGACCAGTTCAAAGACCGACAATAACTTACAACACTAGTTGATAAGTTAATTGCTTTTCCATTAGAAAAATTTTACTTCATAAAGAGTTGTAAGACGATATCTTGGACTGGGGAGATAACTCAGTGAGTATTAGCTGTGTAAGTTTGACACTTGATAAGCATGTATGATGCTCTAGGTTTGATCCCAAGCACCAGAATTAAAAAAACTAAACAAAACACACAAAAAGAAAATCCTAAACCAGAAAACAGCTCCTCATGACTAACATGAGTTAAGATGCTTTTCTTGTGGTTATCATCACTTAAAGGAAACAACTAAATTATAAAAACAAAAGAATTCCCACTTAAAATAGATGCCTAAAGTAGTTTGACTCTTAGAAACATAAGCTAGATCTGGGAAAAGTGGCACATCCCTTTAGCAGTCCTAGCAGGCAGGCAGATATATGTGAGTTCAAGATCAGTCTGGTCTACATAGCAAGTTCCAGGCCAGTGTGGGCTACATGGTAAGAAACTGTCTCAAAAATACAAAACAAAACAAAAAGCCTATAAAGTAGAAGGCAGTTGCCATCAACTGGGGAAAGGGAAAGAGCTGGCTAGTGAGTGAGTTTCAGTACTACAAGATGAAAAAGATCTAAGTATAACAAGTTCTATACAACTAATATTACTATATCATACACTTAAATTTTATGATAAAAGACATTAATGAAGACAATAAATGGGCCAATAGCTGAGACAAAATATGCTAAGTTCTGAAAAGTCTCATAATAACCAGTTTGGGTCACTCCACTTCACAGCTTTACTGCAACCAGCACATGCTGAATGCCTGGAACGTTGACAAGAACCCTTTGCAAATGCTTTTTCAATTAATGAGGAAGAATAATACCAAAAAAAAAAATTCCAAGATTCCTAGGATATAACTACTACACAGAGAAAAATCATAGATTAGAGCAGCATGTATGTAGACAAGAATGGAACACAAAGAAAAGCACTTCAAACTACTCTAGGAAACTTCCTACTTAACACATAAAATACAAATTTCACTTACAGTGGAATAATCATATTGTCTTTTGGTGTGAAGAAAATGGCTCTTGAACTTCCCCCTCTGGAAGGGTCATCAGATCTGTGGCCATAAGAGTGAGCTGACCTAAAGTGTTCTCTTTCTGTAATGCGGTTATTAGAGAGTTTACAGGCAGCATTATGTTGGGTGCCTATTCTTTCTGTCTTGGATAATTCCTTGACAGTCCTAGATTGGCATGGGCTTCCTTTTCTTTCAAAGAACAGGGTGACAGGTCGGTCTTTTGGAGGCAAATGAATGGAGGGACTAGCATCTCTTTTAGTGACTGCTGATGGGGAACCTAGTACAGCAGCTTCTCCCTTACTTGGGGTATTCTGGATATGCAGAGAAGATGGCCTCTCTACTCTTTGTCTTGACTGATAAGAGGATGGTGCCTGCTCAATTGTCTTGAAGGCTTGACGCTCCTTCTCTAAAATATCTGTCTGCTGACGAATCTGTTCCATCATTTCTTTTTCATTCTGCTGCTGTAACTGCTTTTGCCTTTTCTCCTTTTCAGTATTCAGCTTTTCTAACTTCTTAAGCACAGTACATGAAGCATCTGTATTCAATTCATCTCTGGAGAACTGACACTTCCTGGTTTCCCTGTTGGTATCTGGAGAAAAAGCTGTATTCAAAGTGGCTTCCCTTTCCAGCAGTTTGTTTCTCTGGATACTTGTGTCTGGTTGGGAACTTGTTTTCAGAGGTTCTTGATGGGGAATATAAAAAAATGTAGGCAGACTACTGGAAACAAAGGAGTCTCTCAGCTGGGGTTTACAGGTGACAGGTTCAGAACTGCAGACCAGCTTTGCCTTTGCAGTCCCATTCTTCAACTGCTCTGAGTCACAGGGTGCACCTTTGCCAGTCACTGCAGAGCTAGTCTCATTTGAGGCACTGAGGGCATTGTCTTGTGAATCGAATTTTGGATTGGTAGATATACTGGGTGATGAAATTTTCGATTTATTACCCTCATCTAAAATAAGGGACTCTGGTTTGCCCTTTAGGCTCTCCTCACAGGTCAGAAGTTCTAAGCTCCCTTGTGAGCTCTCACTATCAGGTGTGCCCTGTGGAGACTGCAGGCCTTCAGGCATCAATTCTGTAGACCATCTACGTTCCTCTGAAGGAGACACACCACCAAGAGAACGGACTTTCAGCAATTCTAAGCTAAATATAGCTTGTTCCAATTCTCTCATTCTCCGACTTTCTCTTTTGGCCCGACCTACTTTTTTCTGATGGAGATCCTCCAAGGACTTGGGTCTCTGTCTTACAATCACTTCTCCCTGCAAGTCTGTACCACTTTGGCTTCTGCCTCTCTCCTGTTGCTTGTCTGGGGACTCCTTTGAGAAATCCATTGAACTCTCACGGCTAATTCGATTACTCTCTATCACAGATTTACATTCCTCTATGGCCTTCACTCTGTTGTCAAAAGAACGATCCTCCCACTCAGAAGGGTCTGAGCCCTGAATTTCTAGATTTCCACATGCCTTGATATGCACCAATCCATGCTCTAGTTTTGTTTCTTTCAGCCTTTGCTCTTTTAAAGCTTTATACCTATACAAAAATAGACAAAGTGGATTATAGACAGCTCTTGGTTACCAATGAAGAGAATTTAATTTACTAAAATATTTTAATAGAAATACTTTTTTGAGGTGGAACCTTGCTATCCTTAACTATGTTCAAAATTGACCTTAAATTTCAGGTTCAAGAAATCCTCTTGTCTTAGTCCCCTATTTAGTAGGACTAATAAATACCATTGTACTCATCTATATATTTCTAAAACTAACTTCATTGTACTAGTTCAAATTATCCTCTTTATATGAATAATTCCTAACTGGATAGCCTTGACAAAATGTTAACTGAACTAAAGATCCATTAATAGCATTACTTTAATATAGTACAATGGAGATCAATGTTCTCAGTGTAAAAAAAGAAGTTGAATATTTCCAAATTTGTAAGATCAAACCAAATGTGCAAGTTTTTTCTTAGCAGTTATAACCACAGGTCATGGAGGTTTCCAACCTGATTTAATTCAATGAACATTTATTTAACTTCTGCTATAGCCCAGACAATTTGATTAGACCTGGTAGAAATTTATCACACTCTAGTGATAAAAAACATAACTGATAATAAAAGTATTAAAGCAAAGGTTTAAATTAAGGTCCTATGAAAACAGAAGAACCAACTGCTTCATTAACATAGAGTACCTTTGTCTTGCTCTGAATCCTCTGTATGTTGATTGTAAAAGGATAATTTTGTTCCTTTGTTCTTTGTACTTCTTACTTTGCCTGTAGCTCCTCCACCTTGCCTGTATACAGGTAGCAGCCCTGTGCCTGCACCTACACAGTTCCCTCCATCTCTGCTGGATAATGATAGCTGCAGCTCGTAACTCCAAGTATCGTTGTCTCTCTAAGTGAGCACGCCAGGAAGCTTGGAGAAGGGAAGCTGCACTAGCCATAATGAAAGCATCTTTTTGCACAGCCGCATTTCTGACTTGCTTCTGATTTAGGTAATTCCTCCAGAAACGCTAAGGGAAAAAAGAAAATGGCTGTCAAGTTATCACTCATTTCACAGAAAAGGTAAAAAAGGCTAAATTTCTGTCTTAGCACTTTAAGTATATAAGCAACTAGCTTGTTGGTAGTTTGAAATAATAATAATAATAATAATAATAATAATAATAATAATAATAATAATAATAAGAAGAAGAAGAAGAAGAAGAAGAAGAAGAAGAAGAAGAAGAAGAAGTAGTAGCCCTTTCCATGCTGCCCCTGAGCTGTGTTGATGCTCGGTTGGTCCCGCCCGGTTTGGTTTCCTCTGTAACCTGCTGTTGTGCCCACAGAAGGCCCTGCTGCTGCAGGTGTAATGGGAATTAGTACTGCTTTATAAGAGGTGCTGAAGATCACCTCTACTAAGACTTGATGCTTTAACAGATGGTATCCAAAAAGTTGTCAAAGCCTTAAGCAAGTGCCATGCCCATCTTTGTGGACTTATATCCAACTAATGAGCCTATGCATGTCAAGTTGATGGAGGCCCATTATGCTAAGCACTAAACCAATATTATTAAAGTTGATGACAACAAGAAACTAGGAGAATGCAAAGGCCTCTGCAAAAACTCATCAAGGGGAAAAAAAATTCCATCAAGTAGTGGTTGATGATTAAGCAAAAATAGCCTCAGGTAAAGCTATTATCCAAGAATACTTCAAATGTAAGCTAATAAGCAAAAATTTGGCTCTTTAGAAAATAAATAAAAAACTTTTTCTTGCTTATTAAAACTAGCCAGCTTGGTCTATACAGCAAGTTCCAGGACATGCTCCAAAGCTACACAGAGAAACCCTGTTGTGAAAACCGCACTACAAATTAATCAGTAAGTTCTGTTTTATTTATTTATTTATTTACTTATTTACTTATTTATTTATTTATTTATGAATGACAGGGTCTTTCTATTGTAGCTCTGACTGTCCTGGAATTCTATGTAGACAAGCTGGAAGGCTGACCTTGAACTCCCAGGGTATTACCCGCAGTTACATGTAAGGTAATCTGTTGGGTGTTACAAGCATTTAAGAAATGAATATGATTCATTTTCATCTCTAAAGTTTCATTATTATTTAAGTGTTTCACAGTAAAATGGTTCTGGTTACTAAATTAAGGTCAAAAATCACTCTCACACAATCTTCTCATCCCACCTGGATAATAACAGATGCCTGTCTCAAATGGAGGAACTGCTGCCTACAGAGCAAGACCCTAAACCACTGCTGCAACACAATGATTCTGCGAAGCACTTCCTGATGAAGCAGATCTTGTAAGTGCTGTCGTTCATGTTCCTTTAGGAAAACCTATGAGAAGGACAAAAACAAGAGATAAACCTTAAGAAGAAATGAGAAATATTCATGAATTATTGTTTCCGGGGCAAGTTTCTCTTTCAGAGAAGAACACATATAATGGCAGACATGCAAATAAAGTACTAATAAATAGTTCTAGCACCTCGACTAAAGTAATCAATAATCTCAAACTGGGAAAATGAGAAAATGTATCAAGTTTCCATTGTCAAACACTGCTACATTACTGCTTCTCATCTGGAAAAATCATTGCTATAAAAGACCAGTATACCACTAGTTAATATGTCACAATTTTTTAAAATTTTTTAATGAGGGAAAAACTGAGAACTGCAGAGATCTTAAAAAGTGAGTATAACCTAAAGGAACCAACAATAACTATCTATTTGAAATCTAGTATGCATTAAAGGCTTCTTACTCCCCAGAGTCAAAAGCAGATATATACAAAGTATAAATCTAAAGTATAAAGACATATCTCTTTGAAACAGAACTTAGGGTTCATCTTTAGGAGTGAGCAGACATTATATATCAAGAGTTAAAGAGTAAACTACTATGGACTGGAGACAGAAGATCGTACCTGAGCAATAAAAGGAGTTAGAAACACTAAGGCACCTCAGACAACTGAATTACTCTTCATAAAGTACTGTTAAATATCATGAAGCTAAAATGGGGAAGTGGGTTTTTTTGTCTTGTGTTGTGTGACAGATGCTCATGTAGCCCAGGCTAGCCTTAAACTTCTATGCAGCTGAGAATAATCTTGACTGTGTGATTCTCCTGGCGCTGCTTTCTAGTGCTGGGAATATAGGCATGCAGTACTACTTTCCAGATAATATGGAGGATCAGACAGTGTGAGTGAGGCATAAATTTTTTTAAAGATTTATTTATTTATTATATATACAGTGTTCTGCCTGCATATATGCCTGCACACTAAAAGAGGGCACCAGATCTCATTACAGATGGTTGTGAGCCACCATGTGGTTGCTGGGAATTGAAATCAGGACCTCTGGAAGAGCAGCCAGGGCTCTTAACCTCTGAGCCATCTCTCCAGCCCCAAGATATATAAATTTAATGGGGGGGGGGGTCTATTGGGATTATATTTAAGCATGAGGTCAATATAAAGAAAGTACCATTTTTATGTGATTTTAATAAATGGCTAAAATAAGTGTGGGAGCCCATTTTCAGGTTCCTAGTGGCTTTACCCAGCAGGTCTGCATAGAGAGGATGATTGGACCACAGGCCTGAGTGCAGGTGTCTGAGATGGTCTGCACTTGGCTGTGCTGGGAGGAGGTCTTTTGCTTCACTCCTTGGCGTTTCTATACATACCTTAGGACAGAGACCGTCAGGACTCATTGGAATAGGTTCCAGGCCCTCTCGAGGCTATCCTGTATTTTCTATCTGTTATCTCCACAATCTAAATCCTTCTATCTAATATTTCCTGATGCTTGCACTTTGAGGAGAACCGAGCAAGCAGGACCTCACAGGCGGAGCTGAAGGCTGGGCCTCAAAGCTCCAGACCATCCATGAAGACATGAATTTGTGTTTTTAGATGATCACAGTGTCCTAACCCAGGGCAAATATTCCAGTATGATCTTTTTGAGCTGTCAGCTCTGATCATTTACGGCCCCAAAAGTGTAACGACAATAGTAAACCAGACCACTGCAATGCTTCTTGGTACTGTCTCCCCCAACTTACTCGCCTTCCTTCTCTTTGTTTCTCCCCTGCCCTCCTCGCCCTTTTCCTCTTCTCCTTCCTCTTCCTATTCCTTCACTTCTTCTTCCTCTTCCTTGACCTCTTCCCCACTCTGTCTCTTGCTCTCACTGTTTTTCTCCCCCCATACCGTCTGTCACTCATGAATCTATACAGATCTTTGTTCACTGATATAGTATGGTAACTGTCCCTCTTCTTATGTGCAGATTTTCATGCAGAAAACTAAATCTCTACCTGGGCATTGTAGTACACACCTATAATTAGAGCCTTCAAAAAGTTGAGGCAGGAGAATCCTGAGTTTGAGGCCACCCTCGGATATACAGTGATACCCTACCTCAAAAGCAACAAAAGAAAACAAAAAACTAAACTCTGTTATTGTTATTGGAGATATTAAATTATGCAAGTAATATATAACTACATATAATCATATTAACTAGAAAATATAAATTATCAAGAAGTAACAGGGAAAACAGACTGGCCAACATTGTAGGAAAATTCTCTAAGTTTCAAGTAAAAAAAAATTTGGATTAAAAGTATGTGCCACCTCCTCCCCACTAAAAAGTCAGGTAGAGTGCTTGCCCAACATAAGTAAAGCATTGGATTTAATCTCCACTACTATCTAAAAAAAAATTCCAATCCAATGTACAGAATGTAGCTTCTGGCTGCCCCCCAATAATGCACGGGTGGTGTGCAAGCAAGGACAGGTGGCAGGCATGGGTGTGAGAACATAGGAAAGAGAATGAAGCCGAGATGTAATGGAGAACAGAGTCCAGTAAGCAAAGTGATCGTCAAGAAGCCTCCTCCTGACACCCTCCCACAAGGTCCGCTGGCAGGCCCCTCCCTGGTGCCACTAGTGAGAATGAATGTCAATATCACCTGGTGGTCTTGCTCTCTGGACACTGGAGCAGAGGGGAAAGGAGAGAAAGAGGAAACAAAAGAAAGAGGAAACGAAAAAAGAAAGAAAAGAAAAGGCCCTAGGGTCAGTTAGGAGGGTTCACTGGGTAAAAGTGCTTGGCATGTAAGCATAAGAACCTGAGTTTCATCTTATAAACCTAAGATAGAAGGAGAACCAACTCCTGAAAACTGGTTGTCTTGCATGGGTGTGCTAGCATTCACACATTACTAATACACAAATACAAATACAACAACAATAATAAATCAAATTTATGGGCCAACAAGATAGCATAGTGGGTATGTGCCACCAAGTCTGACAAGTTGAGTCTCATCCCTCAGACCCACAAAACCAAGGGCACACGTTTTCCTCTGACCTCCACACTTATTCCATGACACATCTGTGCCCATACAAATACATATACACACATAAATAAATAAATAAGTATATAAAATTAAAACCAACTAGCTTAATCAATTTCCTTGTAATATTTGATTCTATATACTATCTTTTCATAAAACTTATGACAAGGTATTATTATTGAAACATAAAATGCACTCAATTTTGACTAAGGCTCTTACCATCGTTTTTCCAACTTGATAATTATCAGGATTAATATTTACTTTCCTGAAGAAATCCTGAATGTTAAATTTAGATGGGATAATATTTCGGGGAAGAAGTACATGAAAGTGACTCACAAAATCCTAAAAAGTAAAAAGAAAATGGTATCAAATCACAAAGGAACTAGATGAATATTATACCCTAAACTATCTTTTATTAATGGGTTTCTCAGTCTTTTAATAAATAAAAAGAAAATTTTACTTAAAGCAAGGCATTGGAAAAGATCAGAATACATTGCAAGAGGGCGGTGGGCCACATGAGTGAAGCTACTCCAGGGCCTGTTTCCTCATTCTTTTAAAAGCAGAAGAAAGGAAACTGGCAGGGGTAGAAGAGTGACGAGAGAGTGGGTATGAGAGTAACCAGAATTTATTATATCCATGTACGAAAGAGTCAAAGAACAAAACTTATTAATAAAAAAGTATTAATAAAAACTTATTAATAAAGATGAAACAAAAGAGAGTTTGTTACTTTAAAAATATTATAAATAGGAGGTCCTGGAGAGATGGCTCAGTGATTAAGGGTCTGGGTTAGAATCCAAGTGTCCACATGCCTGCTAACAACCACCTGTAACTCATTCAGGGGAATACAACATCTGCTTCTGGCCTCCAAAGACACTGCACTCACATGGTACATAGATGAACATTCAAGCAAAACACCCATAAACATAAGATAAAAATAAAATGATCTTTTAAAAATACAGTTTTAAAAACACAGTAAGAAGAAAGATACTAAGTCTGAAACATCATATTATCAAATGGAAACTGAATTAAAGAAAGAAGGGTAAAAGTTAACTATTCTTTTTGAGAAAGCCATACCAAAGACCAAAGAAACGTCATTTAGCAAGAACCTGCAAGGAAAGGAAACACAGCAGCTGTTGGAACATACGACTGAGAATCAAGTTTTCTCTTTCCATATAACAGAAACTGCTCAGTTTCTGAAAGGTTCCAATATAATTTTTACACACATAGCAATATAGCTGATAATGATTGCTGAGTAACATTCTAGAAGCTTCCTAGGTAAGAAGTCTTTCTAAGAAAACTTCAGGGAAAATTAAATGAAACCTTTTCATTTGACAAGATCATTCTGATTGAATTATTTCAATTACTAGGAAAAGTCAGTGTGAAAACTGCTAAATTATGGTCAAACTTAAAATTAACAAACATTCTGATCAAATGAGAACAGCCAAGTACTATATCACAGCATATGCTCAACAAGACTGCTGTCCTTCCAAAAATGAGTATTCTCTTAACGCTTTTTCAACTTTGCTTAAAAAAATGGTAAAATTAAAAGATGAGCCAGGCATGGTGGCTCACACCTTTAATCCAGCACTCAGATGGCAGAAGCAGGTGGATCTCTGAGATAGCCTGGTCTACAAAACAAGTTTCAGAACAGCCAGGGTTATTACACAGAGAAACTCTGTCTTAAAAAAACAAACAAGAAAAAGAAGTAGTAAATGAGTCCCAAAGATATATAATAATAAGCAAGATATACAGAAACAATGTACTTGATATGAATATATATATATTTATATATTTAAATATATTATAGAAGTATATAACCTGGAAAGAATATTTGGAGCTATATCCTGATTGGCGAATTCGAACTGTTTCCAGCATCCCAGTGTACCGAAGCTGTCTTAGTACCAAGGCATCATTGAATCTTAAGGGCAGCTAAAACAAAGAAAGAAAAAGGTTAGTAGATCTCCAAATTCGGATTTGTCTTAAAAGAACAGCTGACTTTGGAGTAACCAGGGACTGACAAATGTATTTACACATTATATTTTGATAAGCTCTAATTAAGGGCAGTGCAATAGAAAAGGTAATGGTAAAAATTCCTAACCATGAAAATACTAAACAATTTTTAAAGAGATATAGACTATATCCAAACAGAAGAGATTTAACCAGTCATTAGAGTAAAAAAAAATTTAGAGGGGGAAAAAAAAAATCTCTTTCTTCCTAATGGAATTTCAAAGGGTATTAATACTTGCCTCTCAGATTTTAGTATGTGTTGAATCAAATCTACAAACACCTTGCAGATGGGTACAAAAAGTATGCATAATTCCTCTCTATTCCCTTTTAATGGAATTTGAACTTTGTTTTGACTCCCAAATAACCTGAGTGATGTGCTGTCATATACAGAATACTTTTACCTTTTCTGCATTTGAGCGAATACATTTGACAAAATATGGTTCTGCTTGACCAAGTGTCTCCATCAGCTTGCTTAAGGAGGCCTGCAATAAAAGTAGTGTCGTTAGTATGCTTTTACTTAAGAGTTAACAAGTGACTTATAAATATAAACAAGGGGGGCAAAATATGCAAAAAACCTTTTACACATACACAGAAGGGTTTGTTTCTGAAAAGGAAATTGTGCACATTCCCATTTTGGTAAAATCAAAGAATTGCTGAGGAGAGGAACACAGTTTAATCTGAATCTTAAAGCTGATGCTCTGGCAATAGTCATTGCAAATGCATTTCAGCATACTCTAAATAGAGAATAATTTTTCACTACTCTTCACATTTCATTAAGTAACTTTATTTAAATGCACATTTTAGGTAGTTTTGCTTTTTTTTTTCTCTTTTCCCTGTTCGTTTGTTTTGAGATAGGGCCTTGATATTTGTTCAAGACTGGCCTATAACAAGCTCAGGCTGACCTTAACTTGAGATGTTCCTATGTCAGCCTTCTGAGTGCTGTGATTACAGGCATATGTCACCATACCCTGCCCCGATATTCTTCCATTCTGACCAGCTTTTGAAATCACCCAGGAAAGAGCACTACTTTAAATTAATTTTAATGTTTGTAGAGTATATATTGATGTTCCCCCATCTATACTTGGTTTTATATATATCCCAATTAGTCTGGCTAGAGGTGAATCAGTTTTTGATCTGCTCAAAGAGCCAGAGCTTTTGTTTTATTTAATTTCTTTCAATAGTATTCAGGTTTTCTTTTTAAGAATTTTTCTTTTTAAGATTTATTGCATTTTTTGTTATGTGTGTGTCTGTGTGTGGATATGTACTAGAGTGCTGTTGCCCACAAAGCCCGAAGCATCAGATCCCCTGGAGATTAGAGGTGGTTGTGAGGCACCTTATGTGGGTGCTGAGAACCCAACTTGAGTCCTCTGCAAGCACATTTGCACTTTAAACTGCTAAGCCATCGCCCAGGTGCTCTTCTGTTTATAGCTTCACAGACTTCTATTTATCTTTGTTATTTTCCTTCTTTCTTCTTGCTTTGGGTTTAATGTATTCTTCACTTTCTATTTTAAGAAAACCTTTGATTCTTGGGAATAAGGCCTAACTCCTTTTCTAATAAAAGCACTCAATTCTATAGCTTTGTAGGCATTTGAATCATATCACATTAATGATTTTACATCTCACTTTGATCCTTCAACAACAATCTGAAAGAAACAGACTTTATTTAGCATGAGTACAATAGTTAATAACCTGAAACTGGGCGCTGATACTGGGAGGTTTCTTCTTCTTGTGCAGATGAAGAAGGGATTTGGTGATTCGATCCTGTAGGGTCAGTCTTGTTAGATGCTTCAAAGAATTTACCTCCAGCAAGTTCTAAAGAGAAGGGAAAAACATTTATATATGTGTGTGTGTGTGTGTGTGTGTGTGTGTGTGTGTGTGTGTGTGTGTGTGTGTATGTATATATATACTATGATCATATATAATATCACCAACCAGTTTTCATTATTTCCAATTGTGAGAAATATTTTTTAAGATTTATTTATTTTATGTATGAGTGCTCTATCTGAATGTATGACTTTATGCCAGAAGAGGGCATCAGATTCCATTATAGATGGTTGTGAGCCACCATGTAGTTGCTGGGAATTGAACTCTGGAAGAGCAGCCAGTGCTCTTTAACCCCTGAGCCATCTCTCCATACCCATGAGAAATGTTTTATTCTATCGAAGGTGGTTAGTCTGACAAGGACTCTTCCCCCTTTTCTTCTGTGTCAATTAGCCAATCATGTCAGAGTGTGAAGCCCAGCACCCATCAATGAGATGAGACACCACTTACACAAGGGATAAAAGATAAAGCCACTTTGGCTAAAGTGTTTACTAGCTAGATTTGCATTCTGGCATATCATTTTTGCAAAAAGAGCAATCACCTTGAAGATTTACTGTTGTAGAATATTATTTTAACTATGTAAAGATGTGTTGTATTTGTTTCACCTTGCCTGCCTAAGGCACCTGACTGAGCTAGTAAAGAGCTGAACAGCCAATAGCTAGGCAGGATAAAATAGGTGGGAAGGCAGGGAGAGAGAACTAACAAAAAGAATCTAGGCTCAAGGAGGGAGAAGGAGGAGGAGATAATTAGGCTGAGGCCTAAGGCCAGAAGCCAGGCAGCCATTTCTAGCCAGCCAGCCAGCCATGAAAAGCAGTGAAAGTAAGATATACAGAAAGAAAAATAAAAAGCCCCGAGGCAAAAGGTAGATAAAGAGAAACAGGTTAATTTAAGTTAAAAGAGCTAGCCAGAAATGAGCCTAAGCTAAGCCGAACATCCAAAACTAATAATAAGTCTTCCTATCACGATTTGGGAGCTGGCTGGTGGCCTAAAAGAAAAAGCCTGGTATAATTTACTTTCACTTTGTTCATGTGCTCCTTTGTGCAATACTGTGAATATTCATTTCCAATACTATGTATACAAACATTTCATGTATGAATAAGATTAAATGAAAAATGTGAGTTAATAACCATTCTACCCTCTCCTTCCTTCCTCCAAAAGCTACAAAACTAAATTATATTTCACAAACTACTGGATCTAGAATTCTGGGAGTGGCTTAAATTTGCCAGTCAAATAGTGTATGAAACTGGAAAGGTATAACTAAGGCAGAGGCTCTGGCTACTAGTTCTATTCTTTTGGCAAAATGCACACAAAGGTACTTTCAGCTTTCTCTACTCCCAATCTCCAGGCACTAGAGTTTTCTGAGTGTTCAGAGGTAGAGTATAGGACATCTGTGTTCTCACAATTACTATAGAGTAAATGCAGTTTACCTCTGTGATTCCCCTCATTATACAATAGGTGGCAGTACCCAAAAGCAGTTGGATGCATCAGAAGCTTCCTTTTGACCGGTTATAACTGGGGCTCGCTCTGCAGTGATGTTTTACTACTCTAGATCCTTAAGGCTTTAAATAGTTATGTATCTAATTATTTATATCATTTTTACTTTAAAAACATCTCTGTTGTAGAATATTTTAAGGTGTGTTCCTTTTGTTTATGTTGCATTTGTTTAACTCTGTGCAGCTGTGTTACTGTGGCTGCCTAAAACACATGACTGGTTTAATAAAGAACTGAACGGCCAGTAACAACGCAGGAGAAAGAATAAGCGAGGCTGGCAGGCAAAGAGAATTAAGAGAAGGAGAAATTTGGGAAGAGATAAGTAGGAAGAAGTAGCCAAAGGCTATAACATTTGTAGACCCCAATACCTGAGGCTTAGGTAAGAGCTATAACACTAAAAGGTGCCACCTTCTGCTGTTCCAATCTGCCTACCACCACTCACTGCTATCAAATGATAGAAGATATATAAGCAGCCAAGGCCAGCAATTGAACAGATCCTTGCCAACCCACAATTATATATTTGGCTAGAGCAAAAGGACCCATCAGCTGGTGGGTAACACTTTTACCCTGTTATGACACAAAAAGGGTGTTATGAAAAAATGGGTTTTCATTAGACATAAAGACATAAAGTCTTTTGGCATCTTGATCTTCAGTTTCAAAGTCTCCAGAATTATAAGCAATAAACAAACTTCTGTTTATAAACTAACAAGTCCATAATATTTTAATATAGTAGTCCAACGAGACTAAGGTAATTCTCATGTTGTTAAGGATGATTCAAATGGGAAATAAAATTAACTCTTAAGTTTTGATCCTAAGTAACTATAAAAATTTGTCAGGGGAGCAACACAGTAAAAAATCATTTGAGGTGTGAAAAGAGAAAGAGGATATCAAAACAGAAATATACAATAAGGAATATGGTGGTTTGAATGATAATGCCCCCACTGGCTCATGTTTGAATGCCTGGTTCCCAGTTGGTAGAACTGTTTGTGAAGGACTCAGAAGTGCAGCCATGTTGCAGGAGGGATGTCACTGGGGGTAGGCTTTAAGGTTTAAAAAGCCTCATTCCCAGTTAGCTCTCTCCGCATTGTAGTTGTGGATCAAGATATGAGCTCTCAGCTCTCCAGCACCATACCTGCCTGCTGCTGCCATGCTCTATGACATGACGGTCATGGACTCTACCCCTCTGAAAATGTAATCCCCAAATAAACTCTTTCTTCTATATATTGCCCTGGTCATGGTGTCTTATCACAGCAATAGAAAAGTAACTAAGACAGGACAATGCAAAATCATTATAAGAATATAACTCAAAAGAATAGTTCAAGAAAGAATATTAAAGTAGAAGTGACAATTTTGAGCCTAAGATGAAAAACCTCAAAAGCACTATTATTATAGTTATTATCTGGCAGATGGGTTAAACTGTAACCCATCCAAGGAGTCCCATTTCAGGTGGACACTTCTCTGCATCAAACTAACCTGTTATCTAAAAGAAACACATGTCATCTCAGATCTGGATGTGTACAAACTAAATGCTAAGTGTGTTATAATCCAAAGATTCTGAGAGAAGGGCTCGTTAAATGACAAGGATCTCAGAGAATTCTCAATTACTCTGCAATATCTAACTTAGATATCTTCCCTTCTTGACTCATACAGCATTCATATCTGACTACTACTCTCTACTTTTGTGAGTCCAACTTTAAGATTCCACATGTGACATATTGCAAAATGTGACTTCACCTGGATTTTTTTTCACTAAGCCTAATCATCTTCAAGTTCATTCATATGGTTGCAGATCACAGAATTCCTCTCTAAAGATTGAGTAGAATTCCACTATGGCTATAAACTATATATCCTTTATCCCATCCCTCAATTCACTGAGTAGGCACTTAGGTTATTTCTGTATTGTGCTATCTTGCCTATTTTAAACACGGAACATGTAATGCTGATCTCAGCTCTTGTGGACATGTAACCAGAACTACTGGATTATATACTATATATGTTTTTGTTTTTTAAAAAGAAATATCCATACTATTCACAAAAATATTTAATGGTGACCCTTAAGTCCCTCAGGCCATTTTCAGTCTTTGTCATTTCTCCTTGATCTAGTCTGCTACAGAATCCCTCTACTGAATGCCTAAACTTCTGATCAGACTACATCTCTTATCTTGGAAAAGAAATCCAGTAAAAAGTGGGTGCTTTGAATGCCTACCTACCGTGGTCTAGAGCAGTGGTTCTCAATCTTCCTAATGCTATGGCCCTTTATTATAGTTCTTCATGTTGTGGTGACCTCCAACCATAAAATTATTTTGTTACGACTTTGTAACTGTAATTTTGCTGCTATGAACCATAATGTAAATATCTGATATGCTGGATATCTGATATGTGACCCTACAGGTTGAGAACCACTACCCTAGAGACTCTCAGAAATTTGGAACCCATCAACGCCCAGAGGTAGGTAACTGAGAAGGCCTTCCTTTGGGAAGATGCATTAGAACTGTGAAATTCAATGTACAGATGAACTCGTTCCAGGGACATTCAGGACCTGACTTTGTCTTAAGAACAAAGAAGGAGAGAGACCCAGGAAGTGCAAACTCTTATTAGTTCTACAATGCAGACTATATCTGAGACCAATTCAGCACCCTCACACCTGCCTTTTAAAAAATGTTTTTAATATAAAAATTTATGAAATCCAAATGTCAGTGTTCATAAATGAAGTTTTATCAGCATGTGAACATACTTGTTCAGTTTCCTATTATCTAAAGTTGTATTTATCCTACAACAGCAGACCTAAGTACTTACAATAGACACTGACCAACAGAGATTATTCAACTCTTTATAGAAACACTGTGTAACATCAGTAATAGATGAGAATTACAAAATCACTAACTAGAAATGTTTTTAAAATTCAAATTTTCACTTTGCCTGGCTCAAAGAAAAATGAAAAAAAAAATCTTATGTAAAAGTAGCAACTACTTAACAGAACTTGCATATTTCAGGAGCTTTTAAAGAAATTAGAGAATGGTTATTTATCACAAGTAATTATTTGCCTAAACTACTAGGCTTGTCCATTTCCTAACACACTTTGTTGTTTCTAAAATAGATTCAACTAAGAACATACAGTCTCTATTTTGGACACAAATAGGCATAAATAATTTTTTTTTTCTTTTTTGGTTTTTCAAGATAGGGTTTCTCTGTGTAGTTTCAGTGCCTGTCCTGGATCTTGCTCTGTAGACCAGGCTGGCCTCAAACTCACAGAGATCTGCCTGGCTCTACCTCCTGAGTGCTGGGATTAAAGGCATGCGCTACCACCGCCCGGCGGCATAAATAATTTTTTTTTTTTTTTTTTTTTTTTTTGGTTTTTCGAGACAGGGTTTCTCTGTGTAGCTTTGCGCCTTTCCTGGAACTCGCTTTGGAGACCAGGCTGGCCTCGAACTCACAGAGATCCGCCTGCCTCTGCCTCCCGAGTGCTGGGATTAAAGGCATGCGCCACCACCGCCCGGTGGCATAAATAATTTTTAAAAATAGTTACTCAATAGGGAACAAATAAAGTTTTTCCACAGGACTCACCTTTGGAAGAACAGGTTTTGATTTGAAGTTTTTGTTTCTTCTATAAAGATAAAACATTCATTAGAAGAAAAAGAAACTAAAGTATAAATGAGTGATTTTAAGAGCTCACTCAGTGCAACTAAATACCTCATTTGGAGAATGTGGGCCCTCCACACAAAAACTTTATCTGATTGAATCAAGCAGGTATCACTGAGAAAAAAGAGTAAGCAAGGACAAGACAAGAAGGAAATACCAGCTTTGTAATTTGGGAATAAGCAGAGGTGAGCCTGAAGATTACTGATGTGCTGCTGCTGTACTTTCTAAGCTCTAAGTTTCACTTTCTAAGCTCTAAGTTTCGCTTTCTTGTATGTAGGCAGGCTTCTACTTTACAACACCTACTAAGATTTATTTCTACCATTAAAAGATTTTTAAGCTATGCCTAAATTTCATAAGTGGTTAAAAATATACATTTCATAAAACAATCTTTCATTTTAGAAATTAAATTTTTTCTATTCATTTTTCCTACTCATCAACAAAGGTTAACTTCTTTTTTTTAACCCCTTTCGGTTTTTCAAGACAGGGTTTCTCTGTGTAGTTTTGGTGTCTGTCCTGGATCTCGCTCTAGAGAAGGCGGGCTTTGAACTCACAGAGATCTGCCTGGCTCTGCCTCCTGAGTGCTGGGATTATTAGGTGTGTGCTGCCACCACCCAGCAAAGATTAACTACTTTATGGCTTCAGAAAATGGGTAAATACAGCTCAATGCTTAGAACATTGGCTGAGAAGTTAAAAGGCCTATCAGGAATCTAAAGTTTTCCATCTACCAAAGTATAACTTCTCTAAACCTCAGTTTTACTATGATAGACTATAAAGTGAAGATGGTTAAGATGATCTGTTTCTTAACATTGTTGAGAGAATTAAGTGAGTCAGTACACACTTCCAGAGTACAGCAAGACTTACACAAATAAAGTCTATTGACACTATTAAGCAATTACTTCAACAGCGATTCAGGACTCCAATTCAGGCAGACATCTAGTTTATGATACATGAAAAAATAAATGCTTGGGAAATGCTCAAACTACATTAATGCTTTAGTTTAATGGAACATCATGCATGGTTATCTCCATGTCCAAACCAGTTCCTTCATCAGGTAATGAAAGATAAGTTTTGTATGATACTACACATGCTACCATTCATCACATGCATGAGATTTCCCTGTCCAAGTGCTAGATCAAAAGAACAATAATTGTAGCAATGATAGGGAATCCTAAAAAGAGCTACGTTTTTTTTTCTCTAGATGAAAATAACAATAATCATTCTGTGTTATTAATACATTTAACCTTTTTTTGGTTTTTGTTAGTGAATAGGGAAAACCGAAACAGAAAATAAAGCAATGTTATCTATAATGCCTTAGACTCAGTTTTTAAAACTAAGTACATTTCAATCTTTTTCAACCAAAATTATATCCATGAAAATTAATACTTCATCTTTCATTATTTGACAGTAAGAAAATTTACTAAAATACTCCTTTAAGAAGTCTATTACTGCCGGGCGGTGGTGGCACACGCCTTTAATCCCAGCACTCGGGGAGGCAGAGGCAGGCGGAACTTTGTGAGTTCAAGGCCAGCCTGGTCTACAGAGCGAGATCCAGGAAAGGCGCAAAGCTACACAGAGAAACCCTGTCTCGAAAAACCAAAAAAAAAAAAAGAAGTCTATTACTAATCAGTACTGACGTGAGAATTCCATGAGCTCTTTCCAGGAGTTTGCTGCTTGCTGAATTAGCAAATATCCCATCTTTATCAAGCAAGGAAGTGTTGCTAGTTGGTAGTCTGCTTTGGCGAATGCCACTTCTAACATTCCAGGCAATATCATATGTATCACTGTGGGGAAAAAAATAGTATAATTTGCTTAATTAACTATATTATTATATTAATATAAAATATATTATATTATAGATATGGAGCATTAAAAGATTTCAATGCTAAGCAGCATAAAATGGTTTTATTACAATGACAAGCAATCAAGTGGGACCTCTCTGTCACTCAGAAAAAATTTAGTGGATTCTATACAAATGTATAGGTAGATGAATACATCATATAGGTGACATCATTAACAGATTGTTATACATAAGTTATATATTTTAATACATAATAGAATCTATGATGCCTTTCTTCTTTTTTAGAACTTTCAAAAGCTCCCAAAGGGATTTATAACACTAACATGTCATATGATTCGATGTAATATCTATTTTCTTCCTGAGACATCTTATTCATAAACACACATGCTACTGACACATCAACCAAAAATATTAAGCTCTTGCTACAGTTTGAACACTATTATCAGCACTAGTGGCAGAGGAATGAACATACAATTATCAGTGATTATAGCACAATATTTAATGAAGGACTTTCCAGGTAAAGATAGTAGATTTAAATCTCTTCAGAAGCCCATAAAAATATTAATAATATTTTAATGGAATTAACACTTAAGAACAAAGAGAATAAGAACAACAGTGATGTATCTTTGCAATATGGGTGTCACATTTCTCAGCCTTTGATTGTTCTCTCTTTATGTGGACAAGAGGTGAAAGAGAAAGTCTGTAATTTGAACAACAGTGTACATAGGTGAGAACCTTAATATTACACAGAAATTAAGGATAATATTGAAAATAGAGGTACTCTGTCTTTTTATCCAACTTCTCCAAGAATGGGAACAACTGAGATTATTTTATTTCTCAGAATTTCCTATTTAGTATTTTTGAGGCCACAGTCAACCATGAATAAATAAAAATGTAGAAAGCAAAGATAAATGAAAACAACTCTATTTTGGAAATCTGAGGTCTACTGATAGCTTATAACTTCCAGGAAAAGGTTCCTCTGCTAAATCTCAACTAAGTCTGGTCATTTCATCTCTTAGACCAGCAGCAGCTATGTAGCCTTTATACAAAGGTGGCAGCAGAAAGTCATGTGCACCTTCTTGGAATAGCTTCCACACAGCTCATAGCCAACATGGGCTTAGATAACTTTCTCCTCCATATGTTAGAGATTTATATGCTGATAAATGCTTTAATCATTCAGGCAAAAAAACAAATAGACTGTGATCACTGTTGTATTTTCTACATTGTTGCAAATCCACTTCCCCTCCACTTGAGTAAGTTCAGTGGACTTAAAAGTTAATCACCATTTTCTTCTCCCAGCCTTCAACTTTCTCCTTTTCTGATTTGGAGAACTAGATAATAACGATAACGTACATATGTGCACAAAGTTGGAAAATAACTGCATATGTCCATGGAAAAGAATCATAAAATAGCTGAGAAGTTCTTAACATATCTTAAACTGATCTTGGGCACAGAAAAAGTCTACAGTTGAAAAAACAAGTAAACAGAAAAAGCAAGAGGAAAACAAACCAAGTCAAAGAACAGATGACATGTGCAAAGGAAGAATGATCAGGTTTCTATTTACCACATGATTATATTCAAATGCCCACTAGTTACCAATAAAAAAAAGTAGAGAGAGAAATCACACTCACACAAAAAGCACATACTCAGAATGCATGATCTACTCAGAGGAAAAGACAAGTCAAAATAAACTCTCTGAAAAAGATATCTTGGCAGATACACTAGTAAAAGCCATCAGAAACTAGTGTGGGGTGATTCAGGTCTGTATTCCCAACACTTTAGAGTTAGAAGATCAGAAATTCAAGATCATCCCTGGCTATATAGCAAGCTCTAGGCCAACCTATACTATATGAGACACATCTCAAACAAACCAACAAGCAAACAGACTAGACATCCTAAGGTAGGACTAGCAAGCTGGCTCAACAGATTAAGGCATTTACTGTCAAGCCTGATTATATCATTTGATATCTGTGTACCACATGGGTGAAGGAGAGAACCTGGTCCCCTAAGCTGTTCTCTGACTTTCAGACACATACTATGCATATTCCCACACCCCAGCAAACATTAAATAAATAGATAGATAGATAGATAGATAGATAGATAGATAGATAGATAGATAGATAGATAGATAGTTAGATAGACAGACAGACAGACAGACAGACAAAACGGTCTGAGGACAGGGGAAACGAATTAGTGGGTAAAAGCACTTGCACAAGCCTAAGAACCTGAGCACAAAGCCCACAACTAATGTAAAAACTGGATGTCATAACACAGGTCTATAATTCCAGTACTCCTATACTAAGACACAAGGCAGAGACAGGAAAATCTCCAGAAGCTTGTGAGCCAGCTAGCTTGATGCATATAGTGAACAACACAGAGACCCAGCCACCTCAAACAAGGTAAAATGCAAGAACTGATGCCACACATGTGCCATGATACATGTTCATTCACCCTTACACACACAAGCATGCCCTAACACATTTGTCACAAATATACAAAAACATAAATCTGAGTAAGTGTGGTACACACACCTATAATCCCAACACTCAATCTGAGGCAGGAAAACCACAAATGAAGGGCTGCTAGGCTGCACAGCTACATCCAAAACTACGAGTAAGACTGATATTCATCTCATATTTCTTTGTAAACATATACCAAACTTACTGTTGATTTTTTTCATTTAGAGTGTTCATGCCCTGAAGATCAGAAAGAGGTGTTCTTGGGTTTTTGCGGGTTATACCTAACATAAGGGGAAAAAAAGTAGAAAATTTGAAATGAGTGCACCTTCAAAATACTAAAGGAAAAAAAAATTCTAAAGACAAGTAAGAATTAATAAACTTAGTTTTTAAACATTTGATAAATGTCAGGAATTAAGAAAAGTTTTGCAACTATCACAACCACAACTTGATTAAATGAACATAAATAGGAAATTCAATAGGAAATTCTTATTTATTTCATTTAAGTATTAAAATTAGGAAATATAAAAGTAAACAGGCTGAAGACTAAATAGATACAAAATTCACATAGACTCAAAACGCTTTTAACATGACCCCTTTGTAACACTTTTTGGCAACAAATATACTGCTGATATGTAACATATACTTCAGCGATTTATTGATCTTATAAATAAAGACACTGAAGATCAAAGAATGTTTCCGTATGGATATAAATATTTAAAAACAAAATTTTCTTATAGGCTCTGTAGATACAAGGTCAATTTTATAATGTATATATACACATAAACATTTAAGATACACTGGAAAGGAAGAAACATGCATCTTTACAGAAGACCTTTATGAAAAGTGACAATCATAAAGAGAAAATCCTAAAGAAACTACTAAAATGTTAAATACATTCAGCAAAAATACAGGAAATTAATTGATATGTAGAGATTAACTCTATTTTTGTACAAACATAATAAATGATCAAAAATAATTCCATTCATAAAATCAAAATAATATAAACTTAACAGAAAGAGTCAAGACGTCTACCTTGAAAATTATAAAACATCACTAAAAGAAATCAAGAGCCAAATCAATGGAATAATATCCATGCTCATGATTAGAAAATGTATGTTCCAGATAGTAATGATTGTCAAATTAATCTATATGGATATATCTTTCTACTAGATTTTGCTTGTAAATACATTATACCCATCAGAATTATGAACTATTAAAAATGTGTTTCCCAGGCTGTGGTATGGTTTTTGTTCTCTTAATATTATTTGAAAAGCATTAAGTTTTCAATTTATGGAACTCTAACTTACCACTTTCCTCTACCTTTAGCTAATATTTATACATCCTAAGAAATCTTTGCCTGTTTTCATTTTCCTCAAGTTTTCTTACAAATTTAATGGCTTTGATCCTTAAATCAGTATGATTCATTTCAAGTCAAATGGATACCAAGGTGTTCAATGCCATTGGTTCATTGAGAATACTCCATTAAACTATCTCAGCACCTTGGTAGAAAATCAACCACACACACACACACACACACACACACACACACACACACACACACACACACAGATCCATTTCTGTACTACTTATCTGGTTCACAGATTTCCTTTCTTCCTTCCTCCACTGTCTTCCTTTCATTTCCCTCCCTTTCTGCAATACCATGTATTGAACCAAGGACTTTGAGTATTCTACACAAGTGCCCTGCCACAGAGCCACTGCCCCAATTCCCAGTCCTCAACACACACGCCGCACCCCTTTTGAGAAAAGTTCTCACTAAACTACTCAGGATGGCTTTTTACAATCCTCCTGTGTCAGTCTCCATAGGAAGATGAGCTTGTAAGTCTGCTACAAAGCCCATCTATCTCAATTTCGAAAATACAGAGAATTAGGACTTGCTTATCTAGGTAGTTCTAAGTCAGGGTCTCTAATTAGGTTTCACTCAAGCTGCCAAGCAAGACTGCAGTCAGTCATCCTGGGACTAGAAAGAAGGAAAATCCACTCTCAGGTCATCCATACAAGTTGCTGAGGAAGTTCAGTTCCTTATTAACAGTTGGCTGAAGGCTCTGTTGGGACTCTAATGGGGCTGCTCACAAACAGTGGCTTCTCTGAGAGGGATCTGAAAGCTAACAAAGGCATACCAGAGATGGGAATAGTAATCTATTCTAATATCAGAAGTGACATACCTGCCGTGTACTTTTGTCATACAGACCCACTTTTGTAAAATGTGGGAGTGGACTGGCTGCCTTAAGTATTATAAACTTCTTTTTCCAAGTATTTGGGGTTAGAAATATTGTAATTTTATATATTTATTAGACATCTTATGAGAGAGGTAAGTTCATGTTTTAGTTCTAAGACAATTTTTTACATTTTTACCTTTCTCTACCAATAGTCACATTAACTAATCCCTTTCAAATTCCTTTTATATCTCTTTGTTGTTGTTCTACTCTGCCTATGACCCTGATTCCAAGTAGCTATATGAAAATACCTTTACCTTGGTTTCAAGTATTTGGAGAAAGTCTGTTCTAAGATTTTTTTCATGCAAACCTTTTATAAATTGGGGGCACTGTTTTCCACTCCTTAGCTGCCAAGTTTGAGAAGAGATGGGTGTAGAATTATGGCAAACTTTTTTTTCATCTACTGAGATGATCACATACTTTTTCTTTTATAGACAGTTAACACAGTAAGTTAACTTGCCGGTTAACATGTTTTGGATCTTGAGTTTGCCTAAAGCCAACACATTAGAAGTCTGGCTAATGGTTTAGCATGAGGTGGTGGAAATTTTTAAAGTAGTTGGCCCTGGTGGTAGTTATTGGGATCATTAATAGTACATGCACACAGTGATTCTGGGCCTCCAGCCTCTTCTCTCCTTGCTTCCCAGCCTTGAAGTAAGCTCTGTTCTACTACCTGCTCATTTTACAATATGCTGCCTTATCTAAACCAACAGTATAAACATATTACAGACTTATTTACTTTCGGTATCACTAATTTTTAGCTCTAGACATCATTTGCTTGCTTTTCCTTTTTAAAGTCTAATATGTTCTTTTTCTTAGAGTCTTAAGGTGAAAGCTTCAATCATTATCATTTTTTTTTCTTCAGAGCTGAGGACCGAACCCAGGGCCTTGCGCTTGCTAGGCAAGCTAGCAAGCGCTCTACCACTGAGCTAAATCCCCAACCCCTCAATCATTATTTTAGTGCATTTTTTCTTAATGTAAGAATTTAAGAGTGGCTTCCTGAGACACAGACACTGCCAGCACCTATTGGACCAAGAGGTGAGTGACTGTTCTCCCAGCTGGACAGCCCAATGTCTAGGCTCTAGGCCCTAGGCCCCGAGGCACACCCCGTGCCCCTCCACCCCCACCCACTGCAGCCCCACAAGCTCACCAACAGATAAGACTCCTGTGGGCAGGCCTTCCCCCCACTACCCGACATCTGACCCTGTAAACACAAGTCCAGTGACACCCCCCCAAACCCACCCATCCTCCACTACCTCAGCAGCTCCCTGAGACACATGAAGAGTGGCCCCTGGAGGCACTAACACCCTCTGCACCAACTGGATGAACAGCAATCCCCGAGGCACAGGCACCGCCTGCACGGATTAGAAGAAGAGATGGGTAGATACCAGTGCAAGAATACATTCAACAAAAAGAGCAATATGGCACCACCAGAACCTAAAAGTTCTACAACAGCAAGACTTGAACATCCCAATGTAGAAGAGGAAGAAAATAACCTTTAAAATGACTTTATGAAGATGATAGAGGCCTTTAAAGAGGAAATGAAAAATTCCCTTAAAGAAACTGAGGAAAAGACAAACAAAAAATTGAAAGAAATCTATAAATCCCTTAAAGAAAGCCAAGAAAATCAAGAAAAAGCAATCAAGCTGGGCGGTGGTGGCACACACCTTTAATCCCTGCACTCGAGAGGCAGAGCCAGGCGGATCTCTGTGAGTCTGAGGCCAGCCTGGTCTACAGAGCAAGATCCAGGACAGGAACCAAAACTACACAGAGAGACCCTGTCTTGGGAAAAAAAAAAGAAAAAGCAATCAAATAGGTGAAGGAAACAAGTCAAGACTTGAAAACTGAAATAGAGGTAATAAAGAAAACACAAACCGAGGGAATTCTGGAAATGGAAAATCTGGGTAAGCAAATAGGAACTACAGATGCAAGCATCTCCAGCAGAATGCAAGAGATGGGAGAGAGAATCTGAGGCGTTGAAGATACGATAGAGGAAATAGATTCATCCATCAAAGAAAATGTTAAATCCAAAAAATTCTTAACACAAAATGTCCAGGAAATCTGGGACACCATGAAAAGACCAAACCTAAGAATAATAGGGATAGAAGAAAGAGAAAACTACCAGCTCAAAGGCACAGAAAATGCATTCAACAAAATCATAGAAGAAAACTTTATCAACCTAAAGAAGGAAATGCCTATGAAGATACAAGGAGCTTACAGAACACCACATAAACTGGAATGCAACCAATGAATGGATAAGGAAAATGTGGTACATTTACACAATTGAATATTACTCAGCTGTAAAAAAAAAAAAAAAAAAAAAAAAAAAAAAAAAAAAAAAAAAAAAAACAATGACCTCATGAAATTTGCAGGCAAATGGATGGAACTAGAAAAAAAATCATGCTGAGTGAGGTAACCCAGAACCAGAAAGACAAACATGGTATGTACTCACTCATAAGTGGATATTAGGAGTGAAGTACAGGATAAATAAGCAACCTACAATCCACAGCCCCAGACAGTCTAGATAACAAAGAGGGCCCAAGAGGGATGCATGGATTTACCCAGGAAGGGGAAACAGATGAGATCTCCTGGGTAAACTTGGGGGAAGGAGGATGGGAACTTGAGGGAGCAGGTTGGGAGGGCTTGGTATGGCAGGTGGGTTGGGACTGGGACTGAGGGGGAGAGTAAAGAAAAAGATGTTTTGATAGTGGGGACCACTTCAGGGTTAGGGAGAAACCTGGTGCCAGGGAAACTCCCAGGAATCCACAAGGATGACCCCAGCTAGACGCCTAACAATAGTGGAGAGGGTACCTGAACTGGTCATCTACTATCATAAGATTGGTGACTACTATCAACAGAGAGCCTTTATCCAGTTACTGATGGAAGCAGATGCAGAGATCCACAGCCAAGCACTGGGAGGAGCTCCGGGAGTCCTCCTGAAGAAAGGGAGGAGGGAATAAGAGGGGTCAACATCATGACATGGGAACCCACAAAGACAGCTGACTTGAGCACCAGGGAGCTCATGGATTCTGGACCAACAGTTAGGGAGCATGGAACCGACCTAGGCCCTTTGCATGTGTGTGACAATTGTGTAACTTGGTCTGTTTGTAAGGCTCCTAGCAGTGAGATCAGGACCTTTCCCTAGCACTTAGTTGGCTTCTGGGAATCTGTTCCCCATGCTGAATTACCTTGCCCAGCATTGATGCAGGGGAAGGAGCTCGGTCCTACCTCAACTCGATGTGCCATGCTATGTTCAAGCTCATGGGAGGCCTGCCCCTTTCTGCATGGAGGTAGAGGAGGAGTGGATTGGGAGGGGGGTAGATGAGAGGAGAGGAGGGTGGGAAACTGTGGTGATATATAAAATAAATGAAAAAACTATTAAATAAAATAAATTTAAAAAAGAAATAGCAATAATTAAGAATAAATTCTAAGGACATCTTTTTAAAATGACTTACCTTTATTCTTCCTACAAGAAAAAATTACAAATTTTTTCAAAATACATTATGCATTTTCTTATACCAATACAGTGGAAAAAAGAACTCACCATATTTATTTTTAGCACTTCTACTTATTATTTTAATAAGTAAAATTGTTATGGAATTTCAACTAAAAAACTAATAAAAGTAGTAACCTAAACCTGTGACGATTTATTAAATAAACAAAGCAGATCTTGAGTAAACTTGTTCTACTATACACAAATAATTTAGTTTTCTGAAGAACTCATTTATTAACACAATAGGAGTAAGCCCAATTATTGTAATCACACAGAAGACAAAAGAACCTATTTTCATGCAGACTAACAAAGAGCAAAGGAAGAAATGGAGACCAAGTGCATCTTTTATAGCAATTTTAAACAATAAACAGAAATGTATTCTGATTCTGTTATTCTTTATGCTAAACACTGATGTGGTGACTTATATTAGACATAGAAAGTTTCAATTAACGGTTGTAACCAACTTAAATGGATCCTCCAGAGATTCCCAATTATAACACTGCTGATGCAGGACTCAAGTGTAAGCAAGTACAAAATTTAGCCAGACATGAGCAAACTTTGGGGCATGTTGAATATCATGATCACTGTGATAATTTCATGAGTTTCTATATATGTAAGATTTACCAAATTGTTCTCTTCTATTTAACTTTAATTACATTCCAGTAAAACTTTCAAAGAGCAAATAGGAAAAAAAGTACTGTTCATTTTTGTGATATGAATCGGATACTTCAAAGACAAAAATAGAAACCAATTCAGTGATGGCAACCTAGATAATTAACAATGTGGTGACCATAGCCAACAGGACAGTCACCCACATTAAAAAACAAGTATATCACCAATTTCAAGAGAAAGCACTAGAGTCTGAGGAAAGGACTGTGAAGGTCATGCTGCCCATGCAATCTGCATGCCACCCTCAGGAATGCTCTTGATTTCCATTTCCAAGTGGATGTGACAACACAAGGTTTATGAGGATGTGCAGCCTTACTGTACTTCTCTTCCTTGCACCTCTGCAGAATCTCTAAGCTCCTCTGGTGGACTGGGTGTTGGAGAAAGCTAAAACTATCCATACTTTTCAAAATTGCACATGGCGTTGTATCATCATGTCCTTAAGAAGCAAAACAAAACAAAACAAAAAAATGGAGAAAAGACATTATGTAAGCCCAAACCAATAAGAGAATCAAAGACAATGCTGCCAACTATCAATATATTTTAAAATATCAAATAATGTGAATGATTTTCCCCAATTAACAAATAATAGGGAAAACAAGTATTCTTTTCAAATATCCAAAATGTCTATTTTATTATTCAAAGTATTCTGAGCTAATGTCATATTAAAACTCTAGATTAAAGTATTAGGAACACTTCAAACAATTTGTATTATTGGTTGTTCTTCAAAAATTATTCCCGGGGTTGGGGATTTAGCTCAGTGGTAGAGCACTAGCCTAGCAAGCGCATGGCCCTGGGTTCGGTCCTCAGCTCTGGAAAAAAAAACAAAAAACTATTCCCTTCTGAAATATCTTTAGTATCTAGCTGGCAACATTGATAGAATCAGAGAGAAATTATACCAAAACAATTTACAAAAAAATTGAACATTTCTTTTACAAATCTAGCAATCAACCACACTTGTAAATATTCTGTCAAGTGCGTGATAAGTGTAGGTAGTAAAGCACCTAAGAGCAAGAACCCGAGTAGCACTTTTGTATTTATAAATCTGAAGAAACAGCTGGAGAATCTATACCTCATCACTGGAAAAGGAGATAAAAAGTGAATTACTAGCAAGAAAGAGAAGAGATAGGATTTAAGTAATGACCAAAGCCCCAGATGAGTGCTAACCAGTGACTCAGTCTAGCAATAAGGCATTGGGGATGGGGGTAGGGGGAGCTTCAATACCATAAATATTAGCAAGAAATCTACTTAAGGTAGAATTCAGTTTCCATTTTTCAGAAGAGATGAACTCTGAGTGTCATTCACTCAAGATTACCTTAAGAGTTAGGGAATAATGATTACATTTAACAATTCTGCCTCTGTACATGAAAACTGTATAATTTAGGAACAAATTAAGTGACATATAGTGAGCTGAAGGTCCATTAGTACACATTATACAGCTAGGAATGGAACTCAATATTATAAATTACAAATAGTTCTCAAGATAAGTCATTTTAAAGCTCAAAGAAAGACTAATTCAAAAACTGTTGCAGTTTTTTTTTATTTCAATGAAATTCCCTAAGCTAGATTTCTAACAAATGTAACACATCTTTGCATCATTAAACAAATACTCCACAGCATAAACGAATATAATACATCTTTAATTAATATTCCACAACAGGATGGGGAATGAATGGGATTAAGATATATAATGTGAAAACCACAGAGAATAAATAACTAAATAAAAAAGAATTTTATCAAACTGATAATAAAAATAAAATATTATGTTAAAAACATCATTTAGCAGAGAAAACATCATTTATTCAGAAAATATTATCTACATTTAGCAGAGAAAACACAATCTTATTAATCATCAGATAGACATAAAAATAGGCTTTTTAAAGGATGAAATCTACTTCAAGAATTTTATCAATGGAGCTGGAGAGATGGTTCAGCCATTAAAGGGTAGGCTCACAACCAGAGACCAGGGGCCTCAAACCAGACCAACGACTCTTAGCAATGAACACTTGCAAGTAGAGAGGTATGGACAAAGGTGTATACAGCATGATTTTTTGGGTCACACTGCAACTTCTATGATGAGGTTTTTAATTCCTTCCCTTTTTAAATTTTTTTCATTTTATTTTCTTCCTTTTTTTTTTTTTTTTTTTTTTTGGTTTTTCGAGACAGGGTTTCTCTGTGTAGCTTTGCGCCTTTCCTGGAACTCACTTGGTAGTCCAGGCTGGCCTCGAACTCACAGAGATCCGCCTGGCTCTGCCTCCCGAGTGCTGGGATTAAAGGCGTGCGCCACCACCGCCCGGCTATTTTCTTCCTTTTTTTCTCTTGAATTTTGTTTAATTGGAGGGGGGAGGGTGTACAGGGGCAGAGGGCAGATGGGAAGGCATTGTGTTGTTTTTTTTATTAAGTTCAGTAGCTGCCCCTTAAGCAACTGCTGTCCTAATCGGCAACTGTAACTCCACAGTTACCAGTAGCAGTTCAGCCACACTGGCCTTAACCAGGCGGGATTCTGTTCCCTCAGCACCGGCTCCATCACACCACTAAAGGGAACGGAACTTTACCTAGATCTCTATCCCTCTATAGAACTCAGGAGTCAAAGGGTCAGGTGAAATTCTGCTCCCTCAAAGAGGCTGAATAGCAAGTAGCTAACCATCTCTCCTAGCTCATGTCTCCCCCAAAACAGGGCATTCTTCTGTTCAGCCCCCACTTAAGCAACCTAGCTACACATGGTTCCTCCCTACCACTTCCTGTCAGCTAGTTGCTGACTTAGCCTCCTCATCACAGGTTAATTTTATATAATCAAACAAATGTAACACATCTTTGCATCATTAAACAAATACTCCACAGCATAAACGAATATAATACATCTTTAATTAATATTCCACAACAGGATGGGGAATGAATGGGATTAAGATATATAATGTGAAAACCACAGAGAATAAATAACTAAATAAAAAAGAATTTTATCAAACTGATAATAAAAATAAAATGTTATGTTAAAAACATCATTTAGCAGAGAAAACGTAATCTTATAATTATTCAGATAATACATAAAATAGCAGACTTAAAATCCATTTTAAGCATTCTAACAAGCTGATAATAAAAAATAACTATGTTTTTAAAATGGATCATTTACCAAGATAATTGCAAATATTTAATTTTTTATAAAAAAGAACTTACCATCATTTCACTGTCACAGATACTTTAAAAAAAAATACTCAGTTTTCATTATTACCAGTAATTACCCTTGATGGCCAGGCATTAGACTAGTCTGCATGTGGAATGACAGTCAGGTAAAATGGACAAGTTTGGGAAGAAGAGACAGAGGACACTGTGAATTATACTCATAATCCACTCAACCAATACATAATTTGATAATCTATTAGAAATAATTCAAGATATAAAAATTACTTTCTGTGTGAGAATATAGTTATTAAAATGCATTAAATTACTGTGTCAATTTTAAGAAATTGTTCAATATTACTATATCCACTGTTCTCTATTTTCCACTTGGTATACCAGTGTCACTGGGGTATTTCTGTATCTTTGTAGTTTTGTGATTCAATGCCATATCTAATGTTTTAAATACCCCGTGTCCTAATCCTTTCATTCTACTTTTTATACCTTTTACAAGCATTTTAACGGCTTTAAACACTGTTTTCCAGACTATAACACCAGTTCTACACCTTAAAATTATATTCTTCTTGTGTTCAGTGTGTAGCAACTCCCTTTTCACATGACTTGATTGTCCTATATTAATTTGTAAATATATTTTCAGTGGAGGTTATTTTCTAAGTATTGCATAAACTGGTTTTATTTGGGAGGGGTTACAATTACTTATTGTTTTGGTTTTTTGTTTGTTTTAGACACAGGATACAGACTTTTGAAGCAGTTTTTCCAATTTTTTTTAATCCAGGTAGCTTTGGCTGGCCTTAAACTCACAGCAATTCTACTGTCTTCTGCCTCCTGAGTGCTACATGACATTGTGTACTAGCACATACTACAAATCCAGATGCCACACTTAAAAAAGTACAGATGAGAGACTTGATTGTTTTAAAGAGAACTTAAAAGTATCTATCTAAGGTTTACCAGATTAAAGTTCTTTTTGCTTTTCTATGTAAGGCCAGTGGAAAGAATTTTTCAAAAGCCATTTTAGTGACAGAAAAATTAAGCTCACAATCCTAGCTCCAACTGTATCATTCACACATGAGGCCAGATCTTGGAGCCTAAGTTTTTATTCTGGCAGGTCCCAAGCCTTAGGACTCCTCTTATCTCATGTTGCCTGACAGATTTCCAAACTCATGGAGCTCAAGTAATCATCCTACCTCACCTTCTTAAATAGTGAGGATATAGACATGTTCTACTGCATCTGCCTCTTAGGTCCAGGTTTATTAAGTATTCAGCTTGATGTGTCTAAGCAAATGTCTACATTCATGTAAGCCTGAACCAGGATATAGGCATTTTATCCCTCCCAAAGTTATTTTATCACCTTTTCTATCAATAATACCCTTGCCTCCAACACTACCAAAGGCAATCACATTCGAATCTTTCCCTCTGTACTACTTTGTCCGTTCGGAAACCAAATAAAATAATATTGCTACCTAACTTTTTGTTCAGTAATTTTTGTAACTTATCAGCTATGATAATCACCAGTTTATTCCTTCTTATTGCCCAATAATATCACAAGGCAGGAATATGTCATGATTTGGTTATGTTCTCCCATTGATGAATAGGAGGGTATTATTAGTAAATGAATATTCATTTTGTGTGTTTACATATAATAGCGTCACTGAAATATAATTCACATCACACAACTCACTATTCAAACTACAAGTCAATACTTTTTAGTATAACTAACAAAGCTATACACCATCACCACAATCAATTTTAAAGTATGTTGACCATACCAAAATGATGCCCTATACATAGAACAGGGACTCACTCTATAGTCTAGATTTACTCCAAACTCACTATGTAGCTGAAGCTGACCTCAAACTCCTATGTCGCTCAGCCTTCAAAGTGTTGAGAAGGCAGGTGTTCACTACCACACCTGGTTCTTACACTCATAACCTCGTCACCACACCATTCCCAGACAATCAATCAAAATTCTACCTCTACAGATTTGACTACTAATTACTATTCTTATGAATAGAATCATACAAGATATAGTCTTTTGTGCCTCTTTTCACAGAGCATACTGCTTTTATTGGGGAGGAGGTTGAGACAGGATATCTCTGCCTACCAAGTGCTGGCATTAAAGGTGCACACCACTACACCTGGCTACTTTGTTTTGTTGTTGTTTTTGGTTTGGGTTTTCTTAAATATGTGGCATGACATTTACCCGTACTTTATTCCTTTTATGAGTAACATTTCACTATATGGGTATGCCAAATTACTAATATAATTTCTAATTTATAAGCCAGAATTCAATCTTCTATTCCTTCAGAAGTCAGTATTTGTTGTTTGTACTTTTCTACCAATATTGCCATTTCAAACAGTGGCCAGTCTAGCACCGGGTATCAATGTAGCTTATTTTTGCTAAATTTTTCTGGTTTTACTTTTTTTGTTGTTGTTTTTCCAGACATGGTTTCTCTGTGTAACAGCTCTGGCTATCCTGGAACTTGCTTTGTAGACCAAGCTAGCCTCAAACTCACAGAAATCCTCCTGCCTCAGCCTCCTAAAGCCATGTGCCACCACCACCACCCAGCATAAACCTTTCTACAAGCACTTCCTTTTTTTTTAAGATTTATTTATTTATTATGCATACAGAAGAGGGAGCCAGATCTTATTACAGAGGGTTGTGAGCCACCATGTGGGGGCTGGGAATTGAACTCAAGACCTCTGGAAGAGAAGTCGGTGCTCTTAACCTCTCAGCCATCTCTCCAGCCTCTCTATAAGCACTTCTTTAGCTGTATTTTGTAAGTCATAAGATACTATTTGGTTTTCTCCTAGGAGTAAAAACACCTATATCAAGACACTATGTAACCAATACACAATCATTTTCAGGCAAGGTTTCTATGGTCCTCTGGCCCATAAACAACAAATGGCAGGACAAAAACTAAACAAGCAGGGACTAGTATGGACTGTGTTTGTACTTATCTCCAGCTCAAAGTATCTTCTACTGTTCTTGTCATTTCTTTCATAAGCAACTTGTTATGCGGAAGGCTTTTATCTGCTTTCTACAAATCAAGACATTTTTAGTCCTCTTTTCTTTCACTACTGCCCTCAAACACGTTTTTTTAAAATTAACAGTTGACATGAAAATTTTAATTAACAGTAATTTAGTGCTCTAGTATAAATTAAAAAACAATTTCAGTTACATAAAAAGTGACCCATATCCTTTTCTTTACACTGTACTATCAAAAAAGCAATTTCTTTTAAACAGTACAATGATCAGCATAGAATTATAATTATTACTTTAAGCAGCTATCTCTCAAATCAGAGTGCTGGAAAATAGAGAAATTATATTTATTCCATCTTTTTGTAGTTAACTATGCTCTTCATTTCTTCCCTAATGTTTCTATTATCCTTATATATATATATACACGCATATGTGTCTATTTCTGTATGTGCACACATGAATGCAATTCTCTCAGGGGCCAAAAGAGGGCTTTTGATTGCCCCTGGAGCTGGAGTTGCCAATGGCTGTGAGCCACTTAACATGGGTGCTGAGAAATGAACTCAGGTCGTCCGGGGAAAGCAGCAAGTGTTTTTAACTGATAAGCCAACTCTCCAGGCCATTACTATTATCTTAACCATTTCAATCACAAGAACTCCCTTTCATATTTCCTATAGGGGTGTGGTGGTTTGAATAGGAATGGCCCCCATAGGCCCATATATTTAAATACTTGGTCATTAGGGAATAGCACTACTTGACAGGGATTAGATATGGCCTTATTAGAGGAAATATGTGAGGGGGGGGGCATTTTGTGGTTTCAAATGCTCAAGTCAGCCCCAATGTTTCTCTCCTACTGCTGCCTGCCCACCCAGATGTAGAACTCTCAGCTACCTCCCCAGCACCATTTCTGTCTGCTTGCTGCCATGCTTCTGGCCATGATAATAATGGACTAAACCTCTGAAACTGTAAGCCAATCCCAATTAAATATATTCCATTGTAACAGGTGCTATAGGGTGGTGTGTAGAGTGAGTAAATTTCTTAATTAAAAAAATGGAAAAAAAAATAGGTGCTGTACACTTGGGGAAGCAGCCCTGCACCTCACCTGGGCAAAACAGTAGAGCAGGATTTGGTTGAGGCAGCTTTGGCTCTGAGGATGTGACAGCAGGAGAACTAGCCCTGCTTCTTGTTGCCTGCTGCAGTGGGTGAGCTAGCCGAGGCAATGCTGGAGAGCTCACTCTGGAGGTGTCAATGAGGGAAAACTAGCAGGCTGACCAACCCAGTCCCAGAACCAGGGCATACCCTAACATCCATCTCTGAACTGCTGGAGCATGGGTCAGACCTGCAGTTCCAAAGATGCAGGACCTCAATGACTCAAGGCAACAATAGGATATCCAAAATGAGCCCCAGTGAAGGCCCAGTATCAAGGGTGTAGCAGAAACTAGAGGCCTCAAACCAGACCAATGACTCAATTCAGTGAACACTTATAAGTAAAGATGTATGGACTAAGCCGGGCGGTGGTGGCACACACCTATAATCCCAGCACTCGGGAGGCAGAGCCAGATGGTTCTCTGTGAGTTCAAGGCCAGCCAGGTCTACAGAGCAAACTCCAGGACAGGCACCAAAACTACACTGAAAATCCCTGTCTTGAAAAAAAAAAAAAAAAAGTATGGACTAAAGGGTATACTGTGTGACTCACTGTCACAACTACAGCTTCCATACTGATACCTTTTTTGGGTTATTGTTAGTTTTTCTTTTAAATTTTATTTGGAGAGAAGTTGCAAGGGCAGTGGGCAGATACAAAGGGATGAGGAGATGAACGGGATCAGGATGCATGATGTAAAATCCACAAAGAATTAATAAAAAATTTAAAAACAAAGAGTTGTAATCATGGTGTCTCTTCACAGTAATAGAACACTGACTAAGACAGTGGGAAAGTCTACTAATAATTCATTTAGGATTCTTTTCTCTAGGACTATCTTTTGCTTTTGTTGTTGGGTTTTGTTTTGTTTTTGAGACAGGGTCTCTCTAAATAGCCCTGGCTGTCCTAGAACTCAATATATAGATTAAGTTGGCCTAGAACTTCAAGAGATCCACCTGCCTCTTCCTCCTAAGCGCTGGAATTAAAGGCGTGCACCACCACATCTGGCTATCAATTGGAGTACCTTAACTGCTATCATTCTGAAGGACATTTTGTGGGAGGTAGAATTATTCATTTTATCTTTTTTTTTCCCCTTCAATATTTTAAATATATAATATTTTACTACCTCCTACTCCAGTGAGGTCTGGTGAGAAACCATCTGTTGATCTTAGTCTAGGTCCTTTATACATGACAAATCACTTTCCTACTACCACTTGCTTTTCACATTGTCTCTTTTACTTTACATTTTTAATTACATTTATTTATGGGATGGGCGATGCACACTTGCCATGGCCTGTGGAGGTCAGAGGACAACTTGAAGGAGTTGGTCCTTTCCTTCCTGTCAGTCTTGGAGATGAAACTCAGTCATCAGGCTTGGCAGCAAGTGCCATTACCTGTCTGTTAAAACCATCTGGCCTGCCTATCTCTAGATAGTTTAATTATGATGTATCTACATTTGGATCTCTTTGAATCCATCCTCCTTGTCATTACTGATGACCTAGCATGTATGGATTAATTGGTCAAATATAAAAAAAGTAGAGCCATGATTTCTTCAAAGACTGTTTCTGACTCTTTTCTTCTGGATAGCTAGATGTTGATATGCTTGATGTTGTCCAATAGGTCTACTTAGCTTTGTTGACTTTTATTTCATCTCATTTCCTTCCTGTTCTTCAAACTAAGTATCTTAGAGGAAATTTTTTTCCTTAAAGCCGCTTTAAAAAAAAATTACCTCTTAAAATCACTTAGAGGAAAAGCAGATCTGAAGTATTCTTTTATTTCTCCAATAAATTTTAATTAACCATATTTACAAAAAGTAGTACATACATATAATCTAGAAATGAGAAATGAAGTTTAAAAGCTGACTTCAAAGGTTTACTACAAGGACATACAAGTCAGTTTGGGAACCATGGAACAAGGAAGCATTCTCACAATTCCACTGAAAGGCATGTCTCAAACTACATATAGATTAGAAAATTCTAACTATGCAGCAATGTTCTAAGACTACAGCTAGAGCAAATACTACAGCACATTCCAAAGGGGCACAAGTGTCTATGAAACTTGCCCTCACACAAAATATAAAATGGGATGTTTCATGGCTTAAAGAGGAAGTACACAGAAAAAAAAAATTTAATTTCAAACTAAAAACTCAATAAACTGAGAGGTTAATGAAAAAAATACTTAATGAAAAGATGAAGTATTGACTCTTTAATAGAAAAGAAAAAGTACTCTAAGTTACAAAGCTAGTCAACAGATAAGGTGACTCTGGGGCACGAGACTACTATACATATTATATTGACTGACTCTAATATTTTTGTTTCCTAATTTGCTTTTTTATATTAAATTACAATTTCATTTGTAGAAAAAAATACAGATGAACAAAACAGAGAAAATATTAAAATTAAATTCTGAATCATTATATGATTATCAGCTTGTATTTTTGCTCTTACTACCACATGCCTTATACTCATTGTGGGGATTTGAACGAGTGGCCCTCATTTGCTCATATATTTGAATGCTTGGTCTGCGATTGGTGGATTTGTTTGAGAAGAATTAGAAAATGTGGCCTTGTTGGAGGAAGTGTGGCCTTGGAGGAGGTGTCACTGGGACTGGGCTTTTTAAGTGTGAAAAACCCTTGCCAGGCCCGTCTCATTCTCTCCACCTGCAATTTTCAGATCAGATGTAAGCTCTCAGCTACTGCTCCAGCACTACGCTTACCTGAACTATAATAGCCATGGACTAACCCTCTACAACTTTAAACAAGGCCCCAATTAAATGATCTCATTTATATCTAGCCTTGGTCATGGTGTTTCATCACACTATAGGAACCCCAATTAAGACACTCATTATTTCCATAAATATCTATTAATGAATATATAGTGACATATGCCTACATATATAAAGAAACATATATTTAATCACTTAAAGGTATATGTGATTTATCAATTATGAAACATGATTCCAGAGTATGGCAAGAAAACAGAACAAAATAAAAAGTATTATCATGGCAGAATACTAGCAAGGATGGCTTACCACTTTTTCTATGAATGTGTCTTTTCCCAGCTTCCCTGAAGGCAACCACAGCTCTGAAAAAAGCTCGGAGAACTGCCCATCGGAAAACAGCTACAGGATCAATTCCAGTCATCCCAGAGACAAAGGCATTCCTGCTACTTCTCAAAAGAGCCACAATGTCTGGACGCATATGATCTGTATTTTTTTCCCGAAAATCCTATGTGAAAAAAGTACCAATATTTGTGAAAAAGGCTATTCAAATCAAGAAGATAATAATAGGTGACAGGTTTGAATGGTGCATGAACAGAAATTACGAAATTGAATTCTATTCTGGGTAGCTATCTGGACAAGATATCTTCCAAAAAGTGTTGGCCAAATCTGAAACTACTGAATTATGTAATAAATACAGAGTGAACACAATAATTTTATTGTGGATTATTAGACAGTCAATTTGAAGAGGTATTAGATAAAATGGTAAGATAGCTAGAAAACTAAAAAGAGCCAGTCTTGAGAAAACCAGACAAAAGAGCACCTTACTTGTTCTCTGTGGAGACAGTGGACAGGTTAGAAGGAAAGCAATAAAGCAGGGGCAGAACAGATGGGAAAAAGTGCAAGTGGTGGGAAAATAGACAAATGACATACTTAAGGTCTATAAGGTATAGCTTGGTTTTATTTTGATTCATTCAATGATAAAAAGGAATGGAAATGTAATGATAGCAGCCAGTTGGTATTTTATAAACATCTGTGGCTGCACAGAGAATGAATAATATAGAAGAATGAAGGACCTTTGTTATTTTTGATACCTATAATTTATATGTTTCTATTATCAGCTCTTTTTATAGAACACTGTTTATATTACTATGTAGAATGAAACTAACATTAGACTTTGTTGATGTCTTTTCTTTTTCAATTTTGGTGGGTTTTGTTTTGTTTTGAGATAGGGTATCACTACATAGCCCTGGGTGGTCCTAGGACTCATTATGTAGAGCAGGCTGGTTGAACTCAAAGAGATCCTACTACTGTTGCCTCAGAAGTGCTGGGATTAAAGGTGTATGCCACCACTCCCAGAAGCATTACTGATTTCTTTTTCATTCTTTTTATTGTGTTGATTTATGATCTTTATCATGTCCTTCTCATTCTACTGGGTTCAATGTGTTTTCCAAGTTTCTTAAGATGAAATCTGATATAATTACTTCTCAACTTTCATCCTAATTTCTTTTCAAGCATTTGTCTTAAATGATTCTACAAACTTTAACATACTGCATTTCTAACTATTCAGTTGAAAACAGATCTTATTAGAATGGCAAGTAATTTTAGTTGTGATCCTCTAGATTGATTCATCAACTACTTAGAAGAGTTTTGCTTAATGTTTAAATTCCCAGTAACCAGAAAGAAAGAAAGAAAGAAAGAAAGAAAGAAAGAAAGAAAGAAAGAAAGAAAGAAAGAAAGAAAGAAAGAGAAAGAGAGAAAGAAAGAAAGGAAGAAAGGAAGAAAGGAAGAAAGGAAGAAAGAAAGAGAAAGAAAAGAAGAGGGAAAAAATTTAAAAGTTAAAAAAAGCCAGGCAGTTGTATCATAATCCTTTAATCTCAGCACTCAAGAGGCAGAAGCAGGCAGATCTCAGTGAGTTTGAGGCCAACCTGGTCTGCAGAGTGAGTTCCAGCACAGCCAGAGCAACACAAAGCAGCCCTGTCTCGAAAAACCTAGACAGACAGACAGACAGACAGACAGACAGACAGACAGACAGACAGATAGATAGATAGATAGATAGATAAAGGAAATAGGTGCCCAGTAACCTATGACACACAATTGGGACAGGTGTTTTAAAAGTGTTGCCCATTATTTCCATTTGAGATTTTGTGTATGCCCTGTGGAACAACAAAGGATTTATCTACAGCTACTTTTACTTTGTTAAGGCTTCTGTGGTGCTAGGAATTAAACTTAGAGCATCACACATACTAGAAAAGCACTCTACTACAGCTACACTCTCAACCCTACAGCTACTTTTGGTCATGTTCTGCTTCCTATAGTTTGAATCAAAGTTACTGGGTATAAATTGGTTAACATTTTATAAACTGGACGCTTTCGCCATTGTAAAAATCCTTTTATCTCCAGTAATATCTCTAGCTTTGTTTAATTTCCTCAATGAGTATGTAACTACACCTTTTAAATCTTCTTTTAGTTTCAATCAACTCCATAACATAAATAAACATCACAGAAGCAGATGTGCATAATATATGATAAGGGCTGGAGAGATGGCTCAGAGGTTAAGAGCACTGACTGCTCTTCCAGAGGTCCTGAGTTCAATTCCCAGCAACCACATGGTGGTTCACAACCATCTATAATGAGATCTGGTCCCTCTTCTGGCCAGCAGTCATATATGCTGTATACTAAATAAATAAATCTTTAAAGAGAAAAAAAAGAAAAGAAAAAGGAAACCCTATTTAAAAAAATAATAATATATGATAAATGTCCCCTTAGTCTGGAGCATTAAAATACTTGGTTCCCACTTGGTGGCGCTATTTGGGTAGATTCAAGGGGTGTGGTCTTGCTAAAGTATGCCACTGGGGACAGGCTTTCTTTTTAAAGACCCACACCATTTCTAGTTCCAACTCTCTACTTTGTGCTTGCAGATCAAGATGTGAGCACTCAGTTTCTGCTCCAGCTGCTATGCCTGCTGTTTCCCCACCATGATGAACTCTTAGCCCTCTGGAACTGTTAACCCCAAATAAATTTTTTCTTCTCTAAGTTGCCTTGGTCATGGTGTTTTATTACCACACTAGAAAAGTAACTACAACATCTAACAACAGGCTCAAGATTTTTGCTATGTTTTACTTTGTAAATTATATCTAAAATCTGCTTCTCACCTGTGTTGCATCTCACACATAGCATCTCCAATGGACTCAATTAGAACATCTATAATGTGGAGATCTCCAGAGTATATCTTGCATAAGATCTTCCCCATTTCTAATGCTACTCTTGTGATTCAATTTAAGATTTCACCTCAATTTAAATGGGGGGGGGGGCGGTGTGAAGAGGGAAAAGAGAATTAATAAATTCTAAGAATCCAGTCTTGCCCTTTCTGCTGTCTGTAAAAACACAAATCTTCTGCTTAACATAGTTTCACAGTTCCTATAATAATTTCAACAAAAATAAAACTAAACTCAAATTAGTGAGGTTGGTGGTAAACATCTGTTATTAAAGCACTCAGAAGGCTGAAGCAGGACTATCACTTCACTAACAGCAATAGCTACACAGTAAGAACCTCCTGAACTCATTAAAAACAAAAAATCTGAGGCCAGCCTGGGCTACAGAGTGAGTTCCAGGAAAGGATCCAAAGCTACACAGAGAAACCTGTCTCAAAGAACAAAAACAAAATCAAAATCTAAGTTCCTTTAATGTGGCCTAGAAGCTCTTCAAGATATAACCTGATATCTGCTCTTGAAATTTAAATTATGTGACTTGTCCTTAATAGTCTTATATCACTGACCTTTTATATACTATTTCAACATACTAAATTCCATTCTTACTTTATAGCACTATCTCAACTCATCAGCATAACATTTACTTTAGGTCCTCTCTTAAAAATCAAAGGTACCTTTTTACAGAGGTACTTGTGAATCTACAAATTAAAAGGTAATTACTTTATTACTTTAACTCACAGAAAACATTTATTTGTAGCACACAGCTAGAAATAAACATCAATATGATACACTGATATGCACATGATGTACTTACAAATATTTCTGTCTAGTTTTATCACTATATCATAGCAAACACTGAAGAGATAATATGACAACATGGTATTTAATAAATAATGTTTTGGTTTTGGTTTGGTTTTTCAAGATAGGATTCCTCTGTGTTAACAGCCCTGGCTGTCCTGGAACTTGCTCTGTAGACCAGGTTGGCCTTGAACTGACAGGAATCTGCCTGCCTTTATTTCCAGAGTGCTGGGATAAAAGGCATGAGCCACCATACCTAGCAATAAATAATTCTTAAATTAATGAATCAGTAAATGGATAAAAAACCTTAATTAGGATGTCTACCACAGCCAGACATGGTGAAACATCTCTGTAATCCTAAACTTAGGATGTAGAGGCAGGAGAATTATGAGTTCAAGGACATTTTTTTGTTTGCTACACAGAAAATCTGAGACTAGTCTGAGCTACATGAGACTCTGTCTCAAAAACAGAAAACAAAAACCAATGAGACACTCATCTCAAGATTTCATTTTATTACTGTATTGCACGGAAACTTGAGTGTCTTAAGTGGCAAGTTTAAGCTTCCCAAGATTTAAGAGTTAACCAATTCATGAGATACATAAAATATATGCAGGAGTTAAATTAATAAACCTAGCAAGAATGAAAGCTCACAACTACCTAATGATGCACCAAGAACAGAAGCTTCTAAAAGACCATTATGAGTATCATATCAAAGGAAACAAACAAACTATAAGAATGGACGAGTTTGAGACACATAAACAATCTGAACAATACAGACACAATAGAACAATCTGTTCTTCTATATTTAGAAAGTTCACTAGAATGGCCTAGTAGATTTATCTCGAGAAGGAAAGCAGCAGAAACATCAATTAGAAAAGTAGATCTCAATTCTAGTTCTAACCTTACAAAGTGTCTCCAAATGATACTACTGATCCAGAGCCTCCAAAAACTAGATGAGAGAGTAGTATGCCAGAGCTAGTAATCATACATCTGGGGGAAGAACTATGATGACTATGATCAAGAAACAATGTTTACACTGGGCGGTGGTGGCACATGCCTTTAATCCCAGTACTTGGGAGGCAGAGACAGGAGGATCTCTGAGTTGGTAAAAAGAGAAACCCTGTCTGAAAAAAAAAAAAAAGAAAGAAAGAAAGAAAGAAAAGAAAAAGAAAAAGAAACACTGTTTACATGCATAAAATTGTCAAGGAATAAAAATTGTTCTATATTTTAAAAAACATATCTCTGCTCTAAAACCATATTCAGTAAGAAATTTACTGACCTTTACTCCATATTTTACTTTTCCAGCATAATGTTTTATGATAAAAGCAGGCTCCATCACAGCTGGAAATTCAATATAAGAATTCTCTTCATGTTGATGTTTAAACTTGTCTAGTAATGTTTGATTTGTAGCCTGTGGAAAGCTGAATTGGGAGGAGGTAACAAATTATGAGAAAGACGTAGTCATTTATATACCATAATACTAACGTACATTATAATTATAGTGCTGTCTAATATATACTATACAGTTAACGAACAGTTTCTCACGCCTTATTCAAACAGGGCCTCCTAAAAATTTGTCTCCCCAAAATTCGTTTGCTCATCACCACTGTCCAAGTACTTAAGAGCCAAGGATAAGTGGGTCCCAACAGTACAGTTCGCAGCAAATGCAATTTTTAGTGTCATCCAGGTGATGCTGATTGTACAAACATTAACAGTTGTGGAAATTAATGTGATTAATATCATAAATATAATTGCTGTGGGATGGTCTGTATGTCAAGTGTGTTGCTGATTGGTCAATAAATAAATCACTGATTGGCCAGTGGCCAGGCAGGAAGTATAGGCAGGACAAGGAGGAGAATAAAGCTGGGAAGTGGAAGGCTGAGTCAGAGAGACACTGCCAGCCGCCACGATGGCAAACAGCATGTGAAGATGCCGGTAAGCTACGAGCTACGTGGCAAGGTATAGATTTATAGAAATGGATTAATTTAAGCTGTAAGAACAGTTAGCAAGAAGCCTGCCACGGCCATACAGTTTGAAACCAATATAAGTCTCTGTGTTTATTTGGTCGGGTCTGAGCGGCTGTGGGACTGGCAGGTGAGAGAGATTTGTCCTGACTGTGGGCCAGGCAGGAAAACTCTAGCTACATATAATTATTAAATGAATACTGCAAATGTAATCAATGAGTATCACAAATGTATTTAATATCTTGTGTGTAATTAATGAACATCATGAGTGTAATTTTAAAAAAAAAGGGGAGGGGGTTGTGGAATAGTGAGGGATTCTACCAGATTTCAGAAGAGGATAGGGAGGCCAGGCAGAGTCAGAAACCCAGAAGAGAGCTATGAGTGAGCCCAAGTTGCAATGGAGACTACAGGAAGTTGGAGATGCCAGAAACATGGAAGATCTCCAAAGAATGCTACAGGCAAACAGCTTCAGAGAGTCGCCAGGAAAGCTGGAGATTGCAAAGCCATAAAGGTGGAGCTACCTGAGCCCATTAGAGCTCTGATTATACCATTGTGTGACTTGGGTGATAGATATGGATGTTCAAGATTTAATATTACTCTTGTGTGTTTTGGTTTTACCTTGGCCAGGACCCTCCTTTCTATGCTCCCATCCCTCCCTTGTGCACAAGATTGTTGATCCTGTGCCTGTCCTAATGACTATATGTTAAATGTACAAAACTGGCAGTTTTAATTTTGTAAGAGATCACGACTAAAAGTTGCCTTCTGGACTTTGAACTTTGGGATAAACATTTTTTTGGTGGTCTGGGGATTGGACCCAGGGTCCTCTGCATGATAGGCAGGCACTCTACCACTGTACTAGTCCCTAGCCAAAAACTCTGGTTAAAGTTCAAACTATACAGGAACTCTTGGAGGTGAATTAAATAATTTGCATTATTTAGCTAGACATGAGCATTTGGATCCAGAGTCAAAGAATTATGATTTGTATATGAAACGTTTCCTGAAAACTTATACATTTAAAGCTTAGTCCTCAATGTGGCAGTGTTCACAGGTGAAAAAAAAAAATGACAGGGTCATAATAAATCCACAACTGAGCAAACTATTAGAAGATATGGTTGAAAGAAGTAGGTCACTAGAACCCACCTTCACCCCCTTATCTTTGTTTCTAGAATACCCTGGGGTGAGCAGCCCCCTCAAGCCTAAAGCCACTGAGACAAAGAAACAGATTGAAGCCTCTTAAACTGAGACCCAAATAAATCTTTCTTTTCTCTCTTTCTCTCTCTCTCTTTTTTTTTTTGGTTTTTTTTTTTTGGTTTTTTGAGACAGGGTTTAGCTGTGTAGTTTTGATGCCTGTCCTGGATCTCGCTCTGTAGCCCAGGCTGGCCTCGAACTCACAGAGATCCACCTGCCTCTGCCTCCCAAGTGCTGGGATTAAAGGCATGCGCCACCACTGCCCAGTGGTAAACACCAATTTTAATGTGTAAAAATTATTCAAAACTATAACAAAAATAGTAGAATCGGGAAAGAGAATGGCTACTGGTTTCAGATCATCCTAGCATATATTACCAGTTATGTCAGTATCCTGAAACAAGCCAAGTAACCTTTCATAACTGGTTTTCTAGTTCATAAAATAAGCAGAATGCTAGGTACAGCAGTGTTAACAGAATCAAATGCTACTAATAACTACTTCAGACATAACCTGCCAACCTACAGGGATTAAACAAATGTTAACAAGCTTTTGTATGTTCTCACTTTCTCTCTCTCTGTCCCTCCCTCTCTTAGTTTTTCAAAGACAGAGTTTCTCTTTATAGCTCTGGCTGACCTTGAACTCACTCTGTAGACCAGGTTGGCCTCAAACTCAGAGATCCACCTGCCTCTACCTCCTGAGTGCTGGGATTAAAGGCAGGCACCACCACTGCCAGCTTTTTGTATGTTTTCAACACTGACATTATTCTAGTAACTGTGATCAGCTTTTGCATTCAAATACTATCCTGGCCTAAAAACTTTCTAAGTTTATTCCAAAATTCTAAAGCCATTCTAGAAAGGATTATAACTTATAATTTGAAGAAACTATAGCTCTACACTACTATCACCAATTCTATTCCTACCTTGTTTCAAGCCACTAAGCCTACTGTCAAAATAAATGTCCCTTTAAGGGTGTTTTTAATTGTGTAGTGTTCCTACTCAGAACAGGTATGGATAATGAAGGTGAAGAGTAAGCAATTCTAAACCCCAGCCTAGGAAAGTCTAGCATCTGTAAAACTACAACTCACATAGAATATTCCCCTCTTCTAGTAAGAAACTCATCTTACTGTCTGTAGGTAAAAATTCATTTACTTCCTAACCCTCTAGGTCATTTAAAAGTGTATGATCAATTTTTCTCTTTCTCTGAAATGGACAAAAAAGTTTCTAAAGAAGCAGGATAGACATGCGAAGAAAGGTTCTCCCAAGGTTCTATATTCAACAAACACTCATGGATATGTGGTACTGCTGGGTTGGTTTTATTTTTTTTTTTTTGGGGGGGGGGGGGGAGATTGTATCCGAAGTAACTATTCATTTTAAAGCAAGCACATTTACTGTGTAAAACTTAATTCAAGGACTGATGAGATAGTTCAGTGAGTAACAGCATCTGCCGCCAAGCCTGACAACTTCGTTTGACCCCCAGGATCTACGTGGTGAAAGGAGACAAACTCTTCCTTCATGTTGTCCTTTGACTCCACATAAGTACAATAGCACATACACACTCCACCCTCCAATAAGATATAAGTAAATAAAACTCAATTTAAGAACTGAGTGAGTTATTGCATTCCTGCAATGCCAGCACTTAGGAGGCAGAGGCTAGAAGATCTCAACTTCAAGAGCAGACAAGGCTATGTAGCAAGACCCTGTCTAAGGGGTAGAAAAGAGGGAGAGATAGAAAAAAAAAAATCTTTTAAAAACACAGATGTCAGGATGTGGCCAGTGGTAGGATTCCCATGCTCCAGCGAATGGACCTACATCCATGCATATTTGCGTAGAACTAATTAGAGTTAGTAAATAATCAAACAAAACAACACCTGAGTGTGATCATACACTCCTTTAATCCCAGCAACTAGGAGGCAGAGGCAGGTGGATCTTCCACACCCAAAAAAAAAAAAAAAAAGTGGGGAAAGAGGATGGGACATGAAATTTGGAGCTTTGGAGGATATAGAAGGAAATATAGAAGGAAAGAAGGTTGGAGGAAGGGAAGACAGGGTGGATGTGATCATATTTCATTGCATACATGTATGAAATTCTCAAGACTAAAGAAACCTGTATCAACCCGGGTGGTGGTGGTGCAAGCCTTTAATCCCAGCACTTGGGAGGCAGAGCCAGGAGGATCTCTGTGAGTTCAAGACCAGCCTGGGCTACCAAGTGAGTTCCAGGAAAGGCGCAAAGCTACACTGGGAAACCCTGTCTCGAAAAACCAAAAAAAAAAAAAAAAAAAAAAAAAAAAGAAAAAGAAAAAGAAAAAAGGAATATGTATCAAAAAATTTAACATCAAACTTTGTAACAGGATTCTAAAAATAGATCTGTTCGGGATTTAGTGCAGTCTACATGGAAGTATATGGTTTTCTTTCCAGACATATACAGAAGAACCTTTAAGTCTTTATTTGAAACATTATTAGAAGATTTAACCTTACTTAGACTAAGCTGGTTGGTGGTACATGCTTGTAAAGCTGGCACGAAGGAGCTAGCACTAAGGAGCCTAAGAAACTAGGACTGCTGTGAGTCTTGAGGCTAATCTGGGGCTGCAGTGGTCCTAGTCCCAGCCTGGCCACAGTTACACAGTGAAGGAAGTTCTGCCTCAAATGAAGGGGAAGCCATTCAAAAAGCACAATGGTCAATCATGAAACTAAAAAGCACCATACTCACTTGCTTTCTTCATCCAAAAGATGGAGCAGTCCTGTTGGTTTTCTGCTAATAAGATTTATGCAACAAGTATTATCAATATAATCTATGTTGTGCCAACTGATACCTTCAGTTCTATATTCCTCCTGGAAAAAAACAAGTAACAAAATATCAACTTATTTATCTTGCAGAAAATAACAGGCATATAACAAAGGTTTTTTTGTTTCTTTGTTAACTAGGCTGCAGTCACACGTGGTTTTATCTGGGTCATCTAGCCTATTACACCGATCTAAATGTTTGTTTATGACTCTTTACTATGAGTTGTAATCAGATATAGTGGTATCTTCTACATCATTCCTTGTGGTTGGGACCATTCCTGCTACTTAGGGTCTTTTTCACTTCCATGTGAATTTTAGGATTATTTCTGTGACTAGTGATACTGATGGGGACTGTACTGAATTTATATCATACTTCTGACAGAATAGCTATTTTTTACAATAGTAATTCTTCCAATTCATGATCATGGAAGATCATTCCATCTTCAAGTGCCTCCAACTCCTTTCTCCATTGTTTTCAAGGCCTCAATGTACAGGTCTTTCACTTCCTTAGTTAGGTTTATTCCAAGGTATTTTTCTTTTATCTGAGTTAATTAAGAATGGAATTATAGCCATGCAAAGTGTCACACACCTTTAATCCCAGCACTCAGGAGGCAGAGGCAAGTGGATCTCTGTGAGTTCGAGGCCAGCCTGGTCTACAGAGTGAGATCCAGGACAGGAACCAAAACTACACGGAGAAACCCTATCTCGAAAAACCAAAAAAAAAGAAAAAAGAAAAAAGAAAAGAAAAAAAGGGGGGGGGGGCGCTGGAGAGATGGCTCAGAGGTTAAGAGCACTGGCTGCTCATCCAAAGGTCCTGAGTTCAATTCCCAGCAACCACATGGTGGCTCACAACCCTCTATAATGAGATCTAGTGTCCTCTTCTGGAATGCAGGTATACATGCAGGCAGAACACTGTATAGATGATAAATAAAAATCTTTAAAAAAAAAAAAAAGAAAAAAAAAGGAATTATTTATTATTTCCCAGACTTCATTTACTGAACATTTTCCAATGTTTTAGGGGTGATCAATGATTCTTAACATGAAAATGTTCTAACAGGTATAAAATTAACTATAACAATAACACAGCATGCTGGTTAACTATAGCTAGTTTCTCATTTATTAATTTCTAAACTATTTTTTTAAATTTATTTATTTATTATGTATGCAGTGTTCCAGCATGTATGCCTACATGCCAGAAGAGGGCACCAGATCTCATCCTAGATGGTTGTGAGCCACCATGTGGTTGCTGGGAATTGAACTCAGGACCTCTGGAACAGTAGCCGGTGCTCTTAACCTCTGAGCCATCTCTCCAGCCCCCAATTTCTAAACTATTAAGAAACATATTTACCTGGTTTTGAATTTTGGGGGTTGTTTGGCAGCAGTGAGTGCTGAACTGTAGGAATCTCAACGAATGCTAACAAGTGTTTTCCCAATATACTATATCTCTAGCCTTAAAGGGACATTGCTTAACTTTAATCTCTACATGTACTTTCTGTTCTCATTATTTATTAGTTTCTACAGTAATTTATTTTATTTGTTTCTTTTTCAAGACAGGGTTTCTCTGTGTAGTCCTGGCTGTCCTGGAACTCTGCTCTGTAGACCAGGCTGGCCTTGAACTCAGAGATCCTCCCAACTCTGCCTCCCAAGTACTGGGATTAAAGGCATGCACCACCACCGTCCAGCTTGTAATTTTATTATAGTACTAAAATACATGTTAATTCTTGGAAAGTTGACCCTTGTTTTATGGTCCAAAACAACATAAGTACTAATTTTGTAAATATCCCATGTGAACTTAGAAAAAATGTATTCTTCAGATGGGGTTTAGTATTCTTCATATCATTTCATTAACTGGGTCTCAATAATCAGTTAAGTTCAAAGAAACTGGCATACACAAGAGAGACAGCAATGGGATACACACAAAAGTACCAACTGATTTTTATTGAGGCTTTAATAGCCTTTCTTATGTTTTGAATGTTGGTTCTATTAAGTTATTCAAAATACAAAGTTAAAATATTCCATTTACAGATGCTAATGTATATTCCTGATTTGTTTTATTAATTTTTGCTTCATGTATTTTGAAACTATCTTATCAGATACCTATAAATTTGGGACTATACACATGCTAATCCCAATACTTGGAGTCAGAGGCAAGTGGATCTCTGAATTCGAGGCCAGCCTGGTCTACAGAGCAAGTTCCAGGACAGCCAGGGATAGGCAGAGAAATCCTGTGTTAAGAACAAACAAATACACAAAAAGAACTGATCTTCTTAGCATTATGAAATATTCCTTTTTATACTCACTAACAGAGCTACAAACACTTTTTGTTAATGTTTGATAAACCTTTGTTTATACCATTTTACTTTTAGCTTTGTGTATAATATTTGGAATGCCTCTGATAAACTGTTTGCTATTTATCAGTCTAATGATTTTCAGCTACTAAAGCAATCAATTCATTTATAATTAATGTACTCCCTGGTACCTTACTATTTCTTCTTTTGCTCATTTATCCTGTTTTCTTGGCATTGCTTCTCATTTTGTTGCCCAGGGCCTTCCAAATAGCTGGGACTACAGATATGTGCCACATGCCCCAGTTTCCAGGCACTTCTTTTTTTTTTTTTTTTTTTTTCTTTTTTTTTTTTTTTTTTGGTTTTTAGAGACAGGGTTTCTCTGTGTAGCTTTGCGCCTTTCCTGGAACTCACTTGGTAGTCCAGGCTGGCCTCGAACTCACAGAGATCCGCCTGGCTCTGCCTCCCGAGTGCTGGGATTAAAGGCGTGCGCCACCACCGCCCGGCTTCCAGGCACTTCTTTATACTTCCTTTTGTTAGTGTTTGGATTGGCTGGGTTATTTTTGCTTTACTTATAATCTACATTAATTTGGAAAAGATTTTATATTCATTTGCTATTTTGTGCATATTCTAGAAATTATAGCATACATCTTTAACTTTCAATGTTTAACACAAATAAAATTTTCCATAACTTACCAGTTAATAAAAAGATGTCACAATCTTATGCATATGCTATTTTCCGTGTGTATATTAATTCTATTTAAACATTAAACTAGAAAAGTCCCTATCTTTGTCAAATTTAGTAATATACTCATTTATATTCACACAATTTAAAAATTAATTTCACAGCCTGGTGGTGGTGGCACATACCTTTAATCCCAGTATTTGGGAGGCAGAGGCAGGCAAATTCCTGAGTTTCAGGCCAGCCTGAACTACATAATGAGTTCCATTATAGCCAGAGCTTCACAGGGAATCCTTATCTCGAAAAACCAAAATAATAATTAATAATAATAATTAGTAGTAATTATTATTATTATTCTACTGTTTTTTATTCCACTTTGAACATTTGTATTATAACAAGAATACCACTAATAAGGAGGCCTAAATAATAAGCTTTAGTTTTAAGAAAAAATACCCTATTTTCTTCTGTCTCCCACTGTTTCCTCTGAAAAAAATTATTGCTATTACACATACACATACACACACGCACACGCACACACACACAAATAAATAAGGGATATGAGGTAGTGATGGCGTATTCCATGGTAAGGACGGTTGGTTAAACCCCTGACATGAAGTCCCTTGGAGAAGAATCAAGAAGTTTTTTTCGAAGTAGCTGTTCCTTCAAGCAAGTCAAACAGGGTGGTATCTAATAGTTGTGGAGTAACTGAAGGATCTCGAATAGTATTCAAGAGGATAAAATCTCCAGAAATGTAAAGGATGTGGCTGGTATCTATGTTATGAATCAACTCCGGTACAGGCTCAACAATATCTGAACCCACTTGGTGATATGGTAGTGACATTCTTGGGCCCTCAGTCACTGCCACTGCACCTTTGGCACACCAAAACAAGCACAAGGATTGCATTTTACTGGGGAAAGGTGAAGACTGAACCTGACCTTAAAGCTGCAACAAGCTCCTTGCCCTGAGAAGAGGAGGGTGAAAAAGGCAGCTCAAAAGATGTAAACCACAACAAACTGTCTGAGACAACACTTACAATAGACAAGCCATGAGCCCAGGCTGGGACTATGACCTCATTCCTACAAGGTCCTGAATACACCACGAGGCAACTCCAAAATCTCTTTCTACTGAGAAATTCCTGCTATACCTGTAACCAGACCAGTCAGGGATATGGTTCTGAATGAGTATTTTCTTTAACCTCACTGAGTGAGGATAGGACAGTTTGTCACATATGTGGGACTATTCTCATGGGTCCTGTTGACATCAAGATGTTCACATAGAGAACTGTGCCTGCCAGACTGCCAAGACACACACCAGTGGGTATAAAATGGATGACCTAGGGTCCACACACCTAATTGCTCCAGGTGAAAAGAATGCTAGGGAGATGGTGTCCAAAAGTGCCTAGTAGCAGGAGGGTTGGTAGCAATACTTTTATCAACAGTCTTCAAGTTATTGGGCATCTAGGAATGGTTAAAAAAAAATAACCTAGACTACCTCTCTATCACTGTGGTAGGGAGGAGCCATGAACAAAACTCTAAGAAGCAGTAGAATCTACATTAAGCAGACTTAAGTCTCCCTGCTTCACCTCTGCTGGGCATCTGCGAGAAGAGGTTCTGAGTAGTGTCACTCTTGTATCAAGTACATTCAAAGCTCATACCAGGTGCCAAACTCATTAAACCCTGTAATTAGAGGTTAATCTACTAGCTTTAAGTGTCTACTAATGCTGGCTTTCTACAATTGGTTCATTAAGGAGCCTGCACCAAAGAGACATCTTTTATTTCTCTTAAATTTTTTATTTTATGTACATGGGTGTTCTGCCTGAATGTCATGTTTGTCTGTGCACCCTATGTGTGTCTGGAGCCCATGTAGTCCAGAAGAGAACAGAGGCTGTTGAATCCTCAGCAACTAGAGTACACATGGCTGTGAGCTGCCATGAGTCCTAAGACTTGAACCTGGGTAGTCTGGAAGAAGAGCCAGTGCTGTTTTCACTGAACCATCTCTCTAGCCCCAACACATCTTGTCTTAATTCCCCTTAATTTAGGAAATTTACAGACTTTTTAAAAGGAAGTTTAGAATAAATGCATTGCTCTATGTAAAATTTTTCTTGATGGGGCTAGAGATAGAGAGATAGTTCAGTGGTTAAGAGTACTTGCTACTTTTGCAGAGGACTGGGGTTTGATACCTAGCAACTACTGAAAAAGTAAGAAACGTCTGTATGACACAGCTACAAATCTTTGCTCTGATTTGTCATTTCCTTATAGTGAGCGATATGACCACCATACTATCTGAATAAAAGTGCAAAACATCATCCTCAGTGAGGTAAACCAGACTCAGAAGGACAAACATGGTATGTACTCAATCATAAGTGGATATTAGATGTAAAGCAAAGGATAACCAGACCGCAACCCACAGTTCCAAGGAGACTAGCTAGCAGGGAGGACCCTAGGAAGGAAACATGGATCGGCCAGTGAAGGAGAAATAGATGAGATCTACATGAGCAAACTGGGGGTAAGGGGAGTAATGGAAGGCAAGGGATGGGGGATAAGAACATAGGGGAATGGGAGGTTCCAGCTGGAACGGGAACAGAGTGAGAGAGAAAGGAAAGAGATACCATGATAAATGAAGACATCATGGGAATAGGGAGAAACAGTGCTAGGGAGGTTCCCAGCAATCCACAAGGATGACTTCATCTTAGACTACTGGCAATAGTTGACAGGGTGCCTGAACTGGCCTACTCTGGTGTCCAGATGGCTGAATACCCTAACTGTCATCATAGGGCCCTCATCCAGTGACCGATCGAAGCAGATGCAGAGATCTACGGCCGGGTGCCAAGCTCCAGGAGTCCAATTGATGAGAGAGGAGAGATTCTATGAGCAAGGGACATCGAGACCATGATTGGAAAAAGTACAGAGAAGACTAGCCAAACTAGTGGAAACACATGAACTGTGGACCAATAGGTGAGGAGCCCCCATGGATCTGGACTAGGCCCTCTGGATAGGCAAGACAGCTGTTTAGCTTGAACTGTTTAGGAGGCACCTAGGCAATGGGATCGGAACCTGTCCCTAGTGCATGAGCCAGCTTTTTGGAGCCTAGTGCCTATGGTGAGACACTCTCCGCAGCCTTGGTGCAGGGAGGAGGAGCTTGGACCTGCCTCAGCTGAATGTAGCAGGATCTGCTGACTCCCCATGGGAGACCTTGCCTTGGAGGAGGAGGGAGGACAGGGCAATCTGTGGTTAGTATGTAAAATGAATAGAAAATCTCTTAATGATAGTAATAATAAAAATGCAAACTGCAGAAGTTATGACAAATATTCAAAAGTTTGGGCAGAAGGGCAAACATACACATATTTAGATACTCACCTGTTCCAACTTGAAGATATGCTGGTTAAAGTAGTGCTGTAAACGTTCATTAGCAAAATTAATACAGAACTGCTCAAAACTATTATTTTCATAATCTTCAAAACCAAAAATATCAAGAACACCAATGGACAAAGTCTGTAAAACAAGAGAAAATTTATTTGAAAACAAGCTTATTTATTTTATTACAAGTAATAAAATACTCCTTTCTGTAACAGTTCTGGTGCTGTCCAATATTCAAATAAAATATACTGCAATCTGTTAATCATTGATGTAAATTATCACATAAAACCATGGCAACATGAAAATGTACTGCACTCTAACTTTGGAAACATATTTGGGGGCTAGAGAGATGGCTCAGCAATTAAGAGCACACACTTCTTCTGCAAAGGACCCACTTTCAGTTCCCTGCACCCATATCAAGCGACTGACAACCATCAGTGATTCCCACTTCAGGGATTTTTGACATCACTGGCCTTTGTGAACATCAGACATATGCATATGCATACATACCCACATACATGCGCACATGCGTTTAGGAATGTATCTGTAATAATACCACATAATTTGTTAGAAATATTTTTAATACATGGATATTTATTAAACATTGGACATGAAATTGAATGGATTTTTAAGAAAATGGACTTGCGTCAGATGGTAAAAATGTAAAATGGCAATCAATCAGAGCAACCTATATTTTCCTGTTACAGTGGTTATCTTATGGCAATTTACATCAGTGTTTAAGAGTTTTCCTCAATTTTTAAAATAACAGTTAAATGCCAAGAACTGATAGAGATGTGAGTGGGAGGAGAGAGATGTCACCTTAACTCACCAATAAGCAGTGTGTGTGTACATTTGCAACTATCTAAGAACTCACATTTTGGGGTCTTAAGGCTAGTAGGTAAATTAAACTAAAGTAGGCTTTTTTCATTGTAAATATTTCTTTAATAATACAAATTTGAACACATGTAATTTCTGCATTACAATTTCAAAATACACTAAGTACAAGGCGAGTGAACTATTATCTTAACTTGAGAAAGCCAAGAAATCCCTCAACTCAAACATTCTTAAGTCCTATGAGGGAACAGAAACAACAGGTATGAGAAAATCAAAATGTTACCTAAGTGAAAGATCAGCAAATAAAGTTATTTCTGGTTATGAAAAAACTATGTAATTCTTAATTAGATCTCAACCCGAAATAAACAATTTTGCTTTCAGTACTAAATTGGCAGGCATACAAGGTAGCTCAGTAGGTAAAGGCACTTGACATTAAACCTGACAAGCTGAATTCTAGCTGCAGAAACCACCTACTAGAATGGGAAAACTGACTCCCAGAAGTTCTCCAGATAAACACGAACACAAAATAAATAAACAAATGTAAAGAAAAAAAGCACTCTAGAGGTAGAGGCAGGAGGAATGTGAGGCCAAGGCCAGCATGGGCTTCACGGGGAGACTTTGTCAAATAAATAAATAAACAAATAAATGAATGTTTAAAAAGTAATTAAACCCCACTCTAATACCCCTCCCCACCAAAGAAGAACAAACCACTAAATTTCCTCATGTTCAATGTCTGCAACAACACTCAAATACTAGCTATTTAGTAGAGAACATGTCTATTATTCTCTTTCTGGATATTTGACTTCCAGGAATTAGCTCTGTAACATCTTACTATGAATGATTCAGATTCAACTCTAATGTCTGTTACCAAGTTTGATTATTAATATTCACTGCCAACTTGACAGAATCTAGAACCTCCCAGGAGAAAAATCTCAGATCATATCTGTGAGGGCATTTCCAGAGAGTTTAACTGAGGTGGGGAGACCCACCCACCTTGAATATGCGCAGCACTATTCCATTGGCTGGGGTATGGGGACATAGGGGTGTTGTCCCAGGCTGAATATAATGAAGAGAGAGAGATGGAAGACAGAATCCATCTCTTTCTGCTTCCATTCTATAGATAAGATGCAACTAGCATGACTTATCCATGATGGAGGGCTGTGTCCTCATAATGTGATTCAAAATAAAGTGTCCTTAAGTTACACTTGTCAGATATTTTATTTATAGTAACAACAAAAATAAAACTAACGAACCATTCCATCTTTTTCTTCCTCCTACCCTGCACCCCTGAAAATGGAACTTGGCCTCTAAGTCCTACTCTTCCTATTTCAGCCTCTTGAGTGCTAGGATTACAAGCATGTAACAAAACCCCAAACTCAATCTCATTCTAACATGAGATATAACACTCTTGATTAAATGGGAAAATTTCTCCACTGGTGCTGAGACACAGCAAGTAAACTAATATGATATACATAAAAGACGTTTTGAAATCTGTATCAAGAGGGTTTTATGAAGTCAGGTGGTGGTGGTGGTGGTGGTGGTGGTGGTGGTGGCGGCGGTGGCGGCAGCATGCCTTTAATCCCAGCACATGGGAGGCAGGGGCAGGCGATTTCTGTGAGTTCAAGGCCAGCCTGGGCTACAGAGTGAGTTCCAGGAAAGGCTCCAAAGCTATACAGAGAAACCCTGTCTCAAAAAACAAAACAAAACAAAAAACAAGAGGGTTTTATGCAATTCTGGTTACTAAAAATCTAGTCACTTAGAAGAAAATGGTTACTAAAAATTTAGTCACTTAGAAGAAAATGAAATAATGTCCTTCACAAATAAATACATTTAACAATAAGATTCAGATTTAATTTTTTTTTTTGTTTTGTTTTTCGAGACAGGGTTTTCTCTGTGTAGTTTTGGTGCCTGTCCTGGATCTCGATCTGTAGACCAAGCTGGCCTTGAACTCACAGAGATCCGCCTGGCTCTGCCTCCCGAGTACTGGAATTAAAGGCATGCACCACCACCACCTGACCAGATTTAATTTTATAGTTATGGAATTACTTGAAATATAAAAACAAATGTAAGAATAATTTTACGGGACTAGAGAGATGGCTCAGCAGTTAAGAAAGTGGGCTGTTCTTCCAGAGGACCTGGGTTCAATTCCCAGCCACCACATGAAGCTCACAATTGTCTGTAACTCCTCTTCCAGGGGATCCAACACCCTCATACAGACATACATGTAGGCAAAACACCAATTTACATAAAAATAAATTATTTTTAAAAAATAATATTTGTACAATGAGTCAGTAGGATTAAAAAAAATGACACTTTTCATCAGATTAAGTAAATAGGACCATAATGGCTATTAAAAATTAAAATGAATCTAAAATTATCAAAGCTTTATATATATAATCTGTTACATTAAAATAAGGTCCAGAGGTGGGCGTGGTAGCATACACCTATAATTACAACACTCAAGAGGAAGTAAAGGAATGGTTAGGTCATGCTTAAATTGCAATATCCTGCGACATCCTAAAAATACAAATGAACAAACAAAAGGCAGGGCATGATGGCACATGCCTTTAATCCTAGTACTCAGGAAACAAAAGAAGGTAGATCTATCAGTTTGAGGCTGGCCAGGCCTACATAGTGAGTTCCAGGACATCCAAGGCTATGTAGAGAAACCCTGTCTCAAAAAACAAAACAAAACCCAAGCAAACAAAGTTTCAATTTGAAAACAAAATAATTTTTTTTTTTTTTTTTTTTTTTTTTTTTTGGTTTTTCGAGACAGGGTTTCTCTGTGTAGCTTTGGAGCCTGTCCTGGAACTCACTCTGTAGCCCAGGCTGGTCTTGAACACAGAGATCCGCCTGCCTCTGCCTCCCGAGTGCTGGGATTAAAGGTGTGTGCCACCACCACCCAGCCAAAATTAAATTCTAAAAGTAGAATATTAAATATTTTATAAACTTGGACTAGAACATACCTTTCTACATAAGTAAATACATAAATGAAAGATTATAAAAGAATTGCAGGAATAGATGCATAAAAACTTATAGCATGAATATTAAAAAGTAACTAAGAGAGAAAATATTTGCAGTAATGCATCAAACTAAATCTCTAAAATGTCCACAACAGCTCTTAAAAAGGAAAAGTAGAAAGAAAATAAAGGAAAACTAAGATACAAATAAATAATACAAGGAGAAACAAGATTAAGAAAAGCATGACAAGATGTTTGGCTTTCATTCTTAAAAAGAATGGCAAAAAATGGGAGAGCAGGATAATTTCTTATATATTAGAAAATATAAATACTGATAATATACAATTTGGATAAAAGTTCAGAGAAAAAAGGAACTACATACCACTGGTAGAAGTATACAGTCCTTTTGAGAAAGCAACAGATAACAAATCTTTAAAATATGTACATCCTTAAATCCAACAATAATAAACTGAATTTATACTACAGAGAGGTGCACAAAGGTCAGTGAAAGAATATCCATATTGGAACACGGTGAAGCACATCTGTAATCCCAAGCACCTATCAGTCAAGCATATTAAGATCTCAAGTTCAAGAACAGCCTGGCTATACAGTAGCACTCAGTCTCAAAAAACTATATTTATTTCAGTATTGTTCAGGATAGAACAAAAATATTTACTTGCAGTGAGATCATCTAAGGCACAAATCACACTAAATGTTACAATTTTTGTTTTTTGGGGTTTTTTTCCCCCAAGACAGGGTTTCTTCATGTAGCCCTGGCTATCCTGTAACTCTTTCTTGTCAAGTGATCAGACTGACCTCAAACACAAGAGATTCACCTGCCTCTGCCTCCCAAGTACTGGGATTAAAGGCATATGCTACCACGCCGACTAGTATTACACAATTATTAAAAATATATAATGACATAGTTTAAGAAATTTTATTTGAAAATGTATTTTATAAGAATCTATTTAAGAGATTGTTATATAAAAAGCAAACACTGAAACAATATAAAGCTTGATTCTGTTTCTATTTCTATTTTTAAGACCAATGTTGTATATAAATGTCCATAGCATATAAATATATAGGAAAATGGTATAGAAAGACAGAACAGTTAACCTGAATAGGGAAACAAATAACAGAAGTAAAGTTGATTTGACTCTATATAATTCTATTCCTTAAAATTTCAGGTACTCACCAGTTCATTGAACAGTTTTCAGGTAAAACATAATACAACAGATCTTTACCTTGGTATTGTGTTCCAAATCTTTACTATTCAGAAGTGCGTGATTAATACGAAAAACTATCCAGTCAAACAGAGCACTATATAAAGACTTAGCCATAGAGTTTCTCACTGTCACAGCCTACAAAACACAAAGACAATTATGAGTGTAAAGAGGAATGGGAATAATTTCACTAAGATACAATAAAAGACTGTTCTTTATTTCATTTCAGAAGGAAAACCTATTTTGAATTAGAAACTGGATTTCCTGTCAATTTAAATAGCATATAATTGAAGTTTTCTTTTTTTTTTTTTTTTTTGGTTTGTCGAGACAGGGTTTCTCTGGGTAGCTTTGCGTCTTTCCTGGAACTCGATTTGGAGACCAGATTGGCCTGGAACTCACAGAGATCCGCCTGGCTCTGCCTCCCGAGTGCTGAGATTAAAGGCATGCGCCACCACCGCCCGGCTTAATTGAAGTTTTCTATATGTACTCTAATTTAGTCCAACTCAGAGATCCTGGAAAAAACTGTCACGAAACAAAAACACTGTATGAATCACTCAGTTCAAAGCATTGTTTATTGACTATGGGGGCATATATTCTCCCAAATAAAGGTGGTAAAATGGGAAGTGTGAAAACAAATGACCATACCAGCTATAATGGGAGAGAATATTCTAAGTTAAGAAATAAATCTGACAGCAAAAAGGACATTACCATTTGTAGAATCCTTCTTACACTCTCAAAACATAGACATTATATTGCCACAATGATTCTACTAGCTATCTTCAGACTGTCATTCACAGTACTGTAAAACTGTTTTATCCTAGGAAATAGTAACAATCTTATAATTAAGGAATTACGATATTTTTATTTTCTCTCACTTCACTATTTTCTTGGTACTATCCAAGCAATTTAAATTTACTTGGGGGAAAAAGTGGGAGAAGGCTCAACAGTTAAATTGCCTGCTAGAATAGCATAAGGACAGGAGTTCAGATCCCCAGAACCCACATAAATGTGGAGTGGCCATGGCAAGCTTCGTGTAATTCCACATGGGAAGGAGGAGACAAGCATGCACATAGCAAGCTGGCTCCCTAGAAAGCTTTAGGTTCCTCTGAGAAGCTCTACTTCAAAAAGTTAAAGTTAAAAAAAAAAAAGGAAAAAAAAAAGAAAAAAAAATGAAAAAGCAATTTTGGAAGATTCCAGATATCAAACTCGGGAACACACACATGCAAATAAAGGGCAGAGAGGCTATTAATAAAAGAAAATTCACATTCAGAAAACAGTTTAAAGCTAGGCCTAGTGGCTCAAACCTGTAAATCACAGCACTCAAGTTGAAGCAGGCAGACTTTCATGAGTTCAAGACCAGCATGAACTACAAAGTCAGGCTCTCTCTCTCTCAAAAGACAGACAGACAGACAGACAGACAGACAAGACAGACAGGCAGGCAGGCAGACACACACACACACACACACACACACACACACACACACACACACACACACACACACACTTTGGTTTAAAAAATATAAAAAGAGCCGGGCGGTGGTGGCGCACGCCTTTAATCCCAGCACTCGGGAGGCAGAGGCAGGCGGATCTCTGTGAGTTCGAGGCCAGCCTGGTCTACAGAGTGAGTTCCAGGAAAGGCGCAAAGCTACACAGAGAAACCCTGTCTCGAAAAAACCAAAAAAAAAAAAAAAAAATAAAAATAAAAATAAAAAAAATAAAAAGAATTGAGTCCTTCCACTTAAAAGAATATAAATGCTAATGATGTTTTATTGTTTAAATTAACATCTGTTTTCAAGTGGTAAGGAAATAAGAGAGTGAAAAAGTCCAGCCAATCTGTTTCTGAATTTCATTCTAGCTGTGTGGACCAGACAAGTCACTCAAATTATTAGACTATAGCTATAAATTGGAGATATGCTATAACACGTAACACAAAGGTGATGAACTTATTTTGAATTTCAATAATAAAAAAAAAAATGTTCTAAGCCAGGCACCGCAGCAAAGACCTGTACTCCAGGCATTTATTATAGAGCTATAAAGCAGGGATCATGAGTTCCCAGGTTGGCATACAATGAGACTGTCTCAAAACCACATCTTTTTAAATTCACATTTCCAGACAAAAAAGAATTACTGAAAGGAAAGAATTTATCAAATTATGGTCAACAGTAGAAAGTTTCAAATAAATAAAAATTATTTCGAGTCCTAATGGGGAAACAATGGCATATGATCTGAAAATTCTACATTTTGGTAAATTATATACAATGCATCTTAACACTTTTTAAAAGAAAAAGAATGCATTCACTAAGCAGTAAACTACAATAATAATCTATTTCCCTAAGAAGAAAATTAATTCATCAAATTAAGCAATGTAAAATATATGAAGGAAAATAAGCCAAGCATACAGGATTTTATAACAATAAATTTTATGAGTTAAATTCTTGAGTTAAAAACAAACTAAATTCAGATTAATCAAATCTATTTGGTTATAGGAAACAAAATTTTTATTTTTAAAAACAAATCATAAAGAATCTACATACACCAATTAGTTTATATTCACCCTCTAACCTCCTCCTAATTCTATACTCTCTAGTCATTGTATCTGTAATGCAGTCTGATCTATCATTTCCATTTCTATCCTGTCTCCCATTATTCAAGGCATGACTAAGTCCTACTGATCATATCAAATTATATTTATCTTTTTCTTAGCATGTATACACAAAGCAAGCACCTTTCTCCTTCCTATTACAGCTTCTTCCTTCCCTTCAGTGCCTAACATGGTCTCAAATATCTTATTCCCTACTGATGTGTTCTGCATACTTCCCTCCCTATAACAGTTAATTTTAACTGTTAACCTGACTGGAATTAGGATGACTAAGAGGTTAAAAATTTACACCTCTGTGTGTATCTGCAAGAGCATTTGCAGAGATAACAATATTATTATTTTATTTAATAGGAAGCAGGGAACTATAAAAGGTCACACCTGAATGGAAGGAAATAGATACTGGAATTTGTCTTGGGGGTTTATATCTTGCCCTAGTCCTTTCTTGTGGTTTACACTGCTTCCTGGCTGCCATGAATAGCTCTGTTCCACCATGCTCTTCTGCCATGGCATTCTACCTTACTATGAGTCCAGACACATGGAACTGTCCTACAATAGACTATGAAACCTATATACAGTGAGTTAGTTAGCTATTTGGGAACTGGCAGGCAGGAAAGAAAAGCACACCTACAGTATGCCACCTTTAGTTTCTAAGACTGGATCCTGACTGACAGTCCAAGACAGAAGGGAGGTCAATGGATACAGGGACAATATTACTTCGGTCCTACCTATAATCACAAGAAATAGAGGCCTGTCAATAACCTATGAACCTAGAAAAGAACCTAGTGTCAAATGATATCACAGGCTGTATGAACACCTTGTCATCAGCCTGTATACCACTATTCCAAAAAATTAGCCGAAATACAGACTCATATGACCCATGCAAATTGCCACAATAGTAAATTGTGCTATTGTGCTATATCAAATCACACTGCTGCCAGAATATTAATTTTAAAAAGCCTAAGAAAACAGTTTAGTTCAAAATGGACTTTCTATTGCTCTTTGTATAAAAAGGCAACACTTAAAGACTGACTCACATTTTAAATCCTAATATCTAGTATAATGTTAAGCACAAAGAGGATTTGAGTACTTATTAAACAATAAAATACATCAAAAATATTATGAAAAAATAAAACAAAGGTTAAAAGCTAACTTAAAGGCAAAATGTAATTAAAATTGCATCTTAAGAAACAAAACACGGGGAAAGAAATATTAAATCACTGAACTTAAATATAAAAGAAAGGCAAAACTGTTACAAGCCTGCTTTATACTGTTCAAAAGGGAACACATGGAGTAGACCACAGACTGTGCAATGAACAGATCAATATGATCCACAACCAATTCTCTGGAGTTCAACGTCAACTTTCTCGTTTCTGAATCTTTTACTCTTCTAACCCCATATTCCTGAACTATATTTTGGATACACATCATTTTCTTAAAATTGTCAATTTTCAATCATTTTTCTACCCTTATATACCTGAGAAATACAATAACAACAACAACAACACCTGGCAGCCTAAGTACTCAGATATTTAAAGTTATAGGAAGTAAAAACAGAACACTGCCTCCTACATTTTAAGAATTCAAGAAAAGCCGAGTGAGGTTGTGTAGAACTTTAATCCCAGAAATCGGAAGGCAGAGGCAGGGGGATCTCTGAGTTCAAGGCTAGCCTGATCTACAGATTGAGTTCCAGGACAGACAGGATTACACAAAGAAACCCTGTCTCGAAAACCGCGCCCCCCCCCCCAAAAAAAAAGACTTCAAGAAGAAACAAAAAGGAGGAAAATAAACTTTGAAAGACCAGCCAGCAATTGAAGAAGACTGATGACGAAGATGACGAAGATGACAAAGTATGCTGAGCAGCAAATGACTAAGTAAACTATTTAAGAAGAAATGGCCACTGGGGTGAAATACTGCTCTTGCTTATAATCTTATCTACAGTCTACTGCCCTACAATAGTAAAATGAAACAAAATCATGAAGAGGGACTAGGTATGTAGTTCTGTGGTAGAATACATAGCTAACACATACAACATCCAGAGTTCAATGGGAGGGAGAGATAAAAAAAATTAAAATACTTGAAGAGGGGCTGGAAAGATTGCTCAGGGGTTAGGGAGCACTGACTCCTCTTCTAGAGGACCTGGATTCAATTCCCAATACTCACACGGCAGCTCAAAAGTGTCTCTAACTCTTGCCTTCCTAGGTACTATATGCAAATGGTACAAAGATATAAATGCAGACAAAACACCCATACACATAAATTAGTAAGGTTTTTTTAAGATCCTTGAAGAAAAGTGAAAGCCTACTATTTAAAACCATACCGAGTCTCTGGTACAAGAAGATACCCTGAACATTAACAAAAAAAGCAATGTAAACACCAAGCCAGCCACAAACCCTTTGATCTGCAATGTTATCCTGCCTGCAAGATATGCTATTGCAATGGTGGCACAAAGCTTGTGGGAGTAACTAACCAATATCTGAAGTGACTTAAGGTCTGCTCCACCAAATGGAACCCATACCTGACCCTACTTGCGTGACCAAGAATCAGAGTCTATATCGCGCGTGACCTAGGGTAAAACCAAATACAGTGATCTAAAAAACAAATAAACAAGCTGGGCAGTGGTGGTGCACATCTTTAATCCCAGCATACCTTTAGTCCCAGAGGCAGGCAGATCTCTAGGAGTTCAAGGCAAGCCTGGTCTACAAAGCAAGTTCCAGGACAGCCAGAACTGTTACATAAAAGAAAGCCTATTTTGAAAAACAAAAAGCAAAACAACAAAGCAAATGAACAAACAAAAACCATGGTAATAAAATAACTCCTAATGATACGCTGTAATACTCATAGATCAGTGCCTTGCTCAGCCATCATCAGAGCTTCCTCCTGCAGCAGATGGAAACAAGTAAGAAACTCATAGCCAGACATTAGGCAAAGTAAGAGACCTTGGAATACTCAGCCCTAAATGGGATGTCTCCATCAAATCCTCCCCTCAGAGCTCAGGCAACAGTCTTGGAAGAGGAGGCAGAAAAAACGTAAGAGCCAGAGAGGATGGAAGACACCAAGAAAACAAGGTCCTCTAAATCAACATGACCAAAACTCCTATGAACTCACAGACTGAAGCAGCATACACAGGAGACTTGCACGGGTCTGCGCTAGGTCCTCTAAGGCTTTCAGTTTAGTGTTGTTATGGGATTCTTGAGTATGCAAAAAAGTGGGTCTCTAACTTTAATGCCTTCTCTTGGGCTCTTTTCCTTCTGCTGGCTTGTTGTGTCCAACTTCGATGTGACAATTTTTATTTTATTGTATATTTTATTTTTGTTATATTTTAATATTAAAATAAATATAAAACCACACTGAATTTTAAGCTTCAAAATCTATGGAAAATTTATCATTTTTTTCCTAGGAAATATTCCAATTAATACATTTTGCCTAATGTCATCTTCATCTTGAAAAAAAAAAACAACCCTATATTCTAGAATATTCAAACTACTGATGCTCAAGAAAATCATACCTCTGCCAGCTTATATGGCAAAATAAGTTTTTCTCCCACCGTCACCGTCTTCCTTGTAACTAATGCTTCAAAGAGCATCTCTTCTTTAACCTATAAAGTAGAAAAGTATATTCAATATGTAAGGTTTATGACAGAGACTGAATTATATTATTCTGAAAAGCTAACTAGAAAAAAAAACTTTAATGAGAGAAATACATAATGAATATAAAGAAATACATAGGTAATCTTAATAATGGCTAAAGTGGAATTTAAACATACCACTAACAATAATTCCTCCACCTAAAATAGAAAAAAAAAAAAGGTAACAAATGGTTTCTTTTCAAAGTATGCTTCCAAGTGAATGCTTAACTCTAGAACGCTTGCCTAGCATGTGAAAGGTCATGGGTTCTCACCAGCGTCTTACACACACATGCATGCACACACACACACACACACACACACACACACACACACGTATCTGGGAATGGAGGCACAAATCTAAAAATCTGGCACTCCAAATGCTGAGGCAGAAGAATCATGAGTTCAAGGCCATCTTGGGTAACATAGTAAGACATTCTATCAAGAAAACAGATACATATATATACACATGCATACATGCTTTTCTAGACTTCACAATCTAAAGATAAGGACACAGACTAAGGATAAAAGCACTCCTTGAGTTTGAAAAATACTCCTAATGAATACTTATATTGTAAAAATTTATTTTTATATATGAGTATTAAACTTTCAGATAAAGGTGCTGCTTTGCTTTTACTCTTACGCCAGAAGTAAAGAATATCATGTTTATTTGTAACAGAGTCTCACTCTGTAGCCCAGGCTGGCTTCAAATTCATAATGAACCTTCTGCCTCAACCTTCTGAGTGCTGAGGTTCCAGGCATACACTATTAACACCTGACTGAATTATTAATTTTTTCTAAATGGGGACTGGATAAATGGCTCAGTGGTAAAAACACTTGCTCTTGCAGATGACCTTGTTTCAGCTCTGTATAACCACATGCTGGCTCAAAACCATCGTAATTCCAGTTCCAGAGAATGTTACATCCTCTTGTGACCTTCCTGGGCACCAGGCACACACATCATACACATCCGTACATGCAAGCAAAACACTTATACACTTAAAATAAAAGGATTTTCAGTACAAAAAAAAACCTGTTATGTGCATCTGTGTGTGTGTACATAAATGTGTACATGTGGAAGGCAGGATTCAATGTCAGGTATTTATTTCTTTCTGCCGATCTTGTTTTGTTTTCTGAGACAGGATCTCTCTGTGTAGCCCTGGCTGTCCTAGAACTCATAGAGATCCATCTGCCTCTTACTCCTGAGTGCTAGGATTTAAGGCATGACTACCATGCCTGATTCCACCTCTTTTTTTCAGCAGGGTCTCTCATGGGACCAGAGCTCACTGATTGGCTACACTGACCAGCCAGTAAGCTCAGGGTCTTGCCTTTCCTGCCATCCCATACTCTCACTCTCTTGGTGCTTGGATTACAGATGCATAAGACCAGCTTTTTCTTGGGTGTGGAGATCCAAACTCAGATATTTGTGCTTGTATAACAAGCACTTTACCAGCTGAGCCATTTCCCAAACCCTGAATTTCTCTTTTATTTCCCTGAACCTCTCTTAACTAGCCTCTGACAAAAGAATAATAATTAAGACTAGAAACCTGGGTTTAAAATAGGACCACAGGGCACAATGTCCTAATTTATCATAATACTAAATGGCTGACTAAAATATTACCTGAAACACCTGATTGAAATCTAGTCTACGATCTTCAAAATTACAACCTTCAAATACAACAGTCTACATCTTGGTAGAAATTTTTTCCAATGAGTGGTCTAGCTCCAATAAAAGGCATTATTTTTTCCAGCCTCTTCTGTCACAGTATCATTCCACTGAAGTTAATAAACAATGATCAGTCATATATAAAGAAAAAATAAACACTGCAGTTAGAGACATGAAAAAGAGGTATCTGATGCCCTCAATTGGCACTGTAGCTTTATAATGGACACATACTAGTAAAATAACTTTTTTTCTCTAAAAACTAACCTAAACTATGCTGAAGAAAAGTAACTTGTTCTATGCACAATGAATTAGTTTAGAGTTCTTAATAAGGTTAAACTCCATGGAGGGGGCATATAAACCGAGATATAAAAGGTATTATTTGAAATTTCAAATTAAAAAAAAACCACCTCAAGCTATTCCTAACTGCCCCAAACCAGAAACAAGCAAGATGCTCTTCAATTCATGACTGGATTGACAACTGAAGAGCACATGCACAATGTAAGTATTACCCAGAGGTAGAAGAATGCCTTTTGTCTTTTGTTTTGTTTTAGTTTTTTGAGACAAGGTCTCTCTATGTAGTCCTAGCTGTCCTGGAACTCACTATGTACACCAGGCTGGCCTTAGACTCACCGAGACCTGACTGCCTCTGCCTCCCAAGTGCTGGAACTAAAGGTATGTGGCACTACACCTGGCCTAAAAGGATGCATCATAAATGCATGATACCAAGTAAAATAAGCCAATCTAGAATACTATTAATCCTATAATTACAATTATATTATATGTAGAAATACAAATTAAGGTGAAGTTCTAGAGCAATGTAAGAGTTCTGTATAAGACTGTAACAGTGGACACATGACTTCATCCATTTGTCAAAACTAATTCAGCACAAAGAGTAGAACTTACTATATACAAATTTTTAAAATTACTCAAGGAAGGAGGGGATTCCAAGAAGAAATATAGGCCATGACAAAAGACTATAGCCGTATAACATATACATGAAACAGTATCAGTGAAGGAAAGAGAAGGAAAAGGTGAGGAGCTAAGTAACAGTATAAACAAATACAACCTACAATTAAAGCCAAAAAGAAATACCCATAAGAATTATCCTCTAATTTAAAGCCATTTTCCACAATGAAACATGTTTCATTGTTCTCTTTTATCTGTCAGATGAGATAGCTCAAAAGAAACAACATCAATTTGGATGGTGTAAATCTGGTTAAGACGAAGAGTTAGCTGGAAATGACGACACACCATCACTCTGGAAAGAGCAATGAAACAATTTCGAGATGATCTTTAAGTCCTCCTCAAACCATTAAAGAAATAATTAAAAAGTTTCACCTCTTCTCTCCACTCTTCCAAGACACCCCATCTTCAAATAAAGGTATGGTGGTACACGCCTTTAATCCCAACACTCAGGAGGCAGAGGCAGGCAGATCTCTACATGAGTTCAAGGCCAGCCTGGTCTACAAAGCAAGTTCCAGGACAGCCAGGGCCACACAAAGAAACCCCATCTCACTGGGCAGTGATGGTGCACACCTTTAATCCCAGCACTCGAGAGGCAAAGCCAGGTAGATCTCTGTGAGTTCAAGGCCAGTCTGGGCTACAGAGTGAGTTCCAGGAAAGGCACAAAGCTACACAGAAAAACCAAAAGAAAAAGAAAAAGAAAGAAAAGAAAAGAAACCCTGTCTCTAAAAAAGAAGAAGTAGAGGAGGTGGAGGGGAAAAAAGAAACCTCAAATTAGAAAGAGCAATATTAAAATGGACCCAGGACATTAAACAATCTAGAGTGGAAATATTCACCCTGATCAACAAACTGAGGGATTATATGTGTTTGGGACAAAGAAGGCAAACACAGACCTAAGGATCCTGGAACACTCACAAGTAAAGTAAGGCAGAAATCCAGGAGAAATTCCAACTTCTGGAGACACAATTTTAAAATAGTATTGAAAAAAATCATTTTTAGCTAAATAGACCCACTTACAAATATAAAGGATATATAAAATAAAAATAAGAAGCTACCCAGTATCTGAAATAAGGACTGAGAAAAAATGACTCACTTCTAATAATTCTGAGACAATAGGCAGTACTTCAGGATTACAGATATCAATAGAGTCATCCCGATAGGTCTTCTTTTTGTAGGAGATATTACCCAAATGTAGTATTGCTGAGAGCAGAGAGAAAATCCTATGAGAATAAAAGCACAGATTAAAGTTTGTAATGTACATTCTCAAAGCTCATTTCATTCCAAAATCCAAAACAAATTCACCCCCAGTTGACTCAGGAGCCATAGTGTCTTCATTTCCTACCTCTCGTTTGAATACTGTTTATTTTCTCTTATTTTAAATAAATCACCCTAGATTCAACATGTTCTCCTTCTCCTTAAAGAAAGTTTACTGAAATACTAACTCAAACTCTGTCTTCGCTTTGCTATTACTACTCAATACCATTTGGCATCTGCTGCAATCTCATATGCCTCAGAAGTTACTAATGACTTCTTTCACTTAGCTGAAAAAAGATCACACCTTAACTTATCTGACATTTCAGACATTTAACACAGCTAAACATTCCAGCCCTTCAGTAGTTAGGTGGTTGTAGTAGAATCATGACAACTGGAGTATGAAACCCAGCAGCCACATATCAAGCCAGGCTTCCTGCAAATGCCCATGACTCCAGTTCCAAAGGATCCAATGTCCTCTTCTGGACTCACTGCACACCCATTCACACAAACATGTGTACATGTACTCACAAAGAAGCATACACATAAATGAATGTATACACACACACACACACACACACACACACACACACACACACACACACACACACACAACAATTTTTTAAAGCCCTTCAAGGGGACTGGAGGGATGGCCAGCTCATGAATCACGACTACTAACTACTCTTGAAGAGGACACAAATTCAGTTGCCAGCACTCATAGCAGATGGCTCACAAAAGCCTGCAACTCCAACTCCAGGGAATCAGTCACCCTCTTCTGGCCTCCATGGACACTGTACTCATAAATACAAATCCACACACAGACATATACAGATTAAAAATAAAAATAAAATATTTTAAAATGTCCTAAATGCATGTATCTATATGCCTTATTGACTTATTACTTCCTTAGGATAAATCTAACCTATTATGAAAACTTAACCATATGTCTTCTTAAATTTTCACATAATTAAAAATTTATAATAGCTGAAATTTGAATTAGGAAATATTCTAACTAAAACAAACATATTGCTTCAGAACCAAATATAATTTAAGAGGTATTTAATCAACATCTAATTCATAAGCAGTATTTTTCCAGTAATTTAAAATTACAAAATACAAGTCAATTCCAAAGGAATAATTTATAAAAGTATCCTAAGATAAAAAGAAAAATAAATTCAGTATCACTAAAACATCATAAAAACTAGAAGTCAAAAATAACACAAATGTATGACCCACTTTTCATATTTTTGTTTCAAAAATTGGTGTACATTAATGTTCTCAAAAATATGTCATACAACTCTTAAGCAATAACACCTTACAAATAACCTAATGTAATATGTCAATATTGAAAGATTTTAAAATATAAACAGGAATCATGATTTTTTTTTTCCTTTTTCTTTCTTTTCTTCTTCTTTTGAGATGGAGTTTCTCTATATAGCCCTGGTTGTCCTGGAAATGACTACGTGGACCAGGCTGGCCTGAAACTCACAGAGATCTGCCTGCCTCTCTGCCTCCCGAATGCTGAGATTAAAAGTCTGTGCCACCATGCCCAGTTGGAATCTTGATTCTTAAAATGTTTATAATCTTACATTAGAAAATAACACAAAAAGCTAAAAAGTAGGTGTCTTAAAATATAGACAGCAAAAACCTGGTATAATTGACAAATTTTTTCACTTAATAAAGGTGGGACATTAACAATACTTAAAACAGCTTTTATTGTGTATGGTGGCACTCGTTAATCTAAGAGCATTCGTTAGTCTAAGAAAGGAAGATCACGGAGTCCAAGGTAGGCCTGAGTTACAAAGCATACACCTATCTTTAAAATAAATTTTTATTAAAAAAATAATGTTCAACACTCCAAAATTTAAGGATGGCTACACAGCTATGAAAAGCAATTCTAAAGTAGATCCAAATAGGAAAGAATGTTACAATTTATTAGCAGAGATAACTGTGGGCACAAGAAAGGGAAGTAGCATTACACACAATATGTCCTCTATCCAAAACAATCAAATTTTCTGAATGAGTGGAAAAGAGATAAAAATAATTTCAAATGGAGAATAATTAAATGTTAAAAGTACTATACAATAGTAAATAAATAAATAAATATTAGAACTATGACCCATGTAGTTAAAATGCATATTTTTCTGTAAAGGAATGTCTGAAAACAGAAGATAAAACGACAGGGAAGATCACACTGAAACTTACTGCATCCTAAAGTTTCCAAGGTGGGATCCAGTAATACCAAATAATCCCTTTAATACATGAAAAGTAAACACTATATTGCCAAAAATTCCATTTCACTGCTATTTAATATAGAAAACGTATACGTTACTCAAAAATTATTGTGACAAGAAATATTTGAGGTTTTGGAATTTCTCAGATTGTAGAATAGGTTCATGACCTTATTTGTTTTATATTCCTAATCTAAAAATCTCAAATGCCCCAAAGTTTGAAGAATTTTCAGCATGTCAATATTCAAAATATTTTAAATTTCAGATCATTTCAGAATTCAGCTTTTAACATTAGGGTCATTCAATCAGTTCATATTCTAACACTTCATTCAATTTATGTCATCCACTCAGGGTCATATGCAGTATATAAGTGATCCTGAGGGACGAGGGATGTAACAGAAACTGAGGGAGGTTTTCTCATATATTAACTTACAGTGAATTGCTGTTTCTGTCACCAATTAAGTATGTTTTCACATTTATAATTTATATTGTTTGGTTTTAACCAACTTTTCATGAATGGAATCCAGCAAACAATTTTATAATTCAAGAGGCATACCAATACATAGAAAGGTCAGGCTAATATTCTCCTAGTAAGAACTCCTCACTCAAGAAATTATTCATACATAACACAATGAAATATGACATATTCTTCAAGATGAGTCCCACACACACTTCAAAAACAATTATAAAAACAGTTAGATTCGAAAGTGTGTGTTGTATTTTGAGTTTCTTGAGAGGCTAAGGCAGGCCCTTACGCCTGATCTTTGAAGCCATCTGAACAATATCTAATAACAAGACCCTGTCTCCAAAATTAAACAGATAAAAGTTATGAAAAAAAATTCCTACGGCAGTTGGGTTGTGGTGGTGGTGCACACCTTTAATCCCAGCACTCAGGAGGCAGAGGCAGGAAGATCTCTGTGAGTTTCAAGTCAATCTGATCTACAGAGTGATTTCTAGGCCAGCCAGGACTACACAGACAAAAACAACAACAAAATTATTCCTCTGGGAAGAGACAAGGTTATAGCTTTAATTTTAAATAGTTTGCTTAAATATAAATTACTTCATTTTCTGAAACAAATGTTTTTTGGTGTATGTATGTTGCTGTGCTACGCATGCATGTATGAGTGTGAACACGTATAGAGGGTTTGTGCATGTAAATGAATGTATGTGGAGGCCCAAGTTAAGCATCAGGTATCTTTCATCTAAATTTTAATTTTAACTTATGTATTATTTTATGTATATGGGTATTTTGCAGACATGTCTATGCAACACATTCATGTAGTGCCTATGAAGGCCAAAAGAGGGCAGCAGATCCCCTGGAACTGGAGTAACAACAAATGGTGGTAAGGGGTCATATAGGCATTAGGAATTGAACCACCTCATCTGGAAGATCAGCCAATGTTATTAACCTCTGAGTCATCACTCCAATTCACAAATGTCCTTTCTTATTTTTCTCCCCCCTTGAGGCATTTATTCAGGTAAGGTCTCTTGCTGAACGAGAGATTGTCGTTTTTTCCATCTTGGCTGTAGAGATTCCCTATCTTTGCTTCCTATCTACTAGGATCAAAGGGAGGCCATCATGCCATGCCCACCAGGCTTTTCTGATATGGGTTCCGAAGATCTGAACTCCAGCCCTTATTTTTGCACAAGCACTTCATCCAATGAGTCATCTTCTCTAGCCCTATCAAAACTTTTTATGTTTCCATTTTGTTTATATTCACACATATAAAGGCTTTGTGGTTTGTTTTTGGTTTTTGTTTGTTTGTTTGTTGACAGTATTGCTGTTAGGGATTGAGTCTATGGTCTTGTGTATTCAAGGCAAGTACCCTATCATGGAGCTACATCCACAGATCAAGAATTTTTAACACAATAGCACACATGTAAATATGCATTGAATGTTATATTTACTTATAGACATGTATAACTTAACATTAAAGATCACTGATGTAAAAAATGAAAAGATGAAAAACTGTAAAAAACAAAAGTAACAGTTTTTAAGTTAGTCCACGGATAGGCTTCAGGAAGCTTCATGAAGTCTCCATATCATGCGCAAATGTCTATGGATATACATTTTACCAAAGTAGTTTAGCTTTCATCAGCTTCTCAAAGATTAGTTTTAAAAAGGTGGTGAGGCAACACTCAAATCTTAATATAACTAAGGCAATAGTGATGCCTTAAAAACTTTAAAAGAAACAAGAAAAGTGGCATGATTATTATGGAGACAGCCAACAGTTTTCTGATGGGATCTAAGACTTGCTCCACAAGAAGGAATATTGTGACCGTGGTCAAAAGCTGAGGAGACTAGGAGGTTATAAGCCCCAGTAGAAGGGCCCACTACTGTTACTTTGCTAAAGTCATTCTGTCATACTGCCTTCTAAATATTTATGTTTATACTCATAGATTAGTGCTGCTCCAACTATGATCAAAAAAATACTCTTTTTGCAGTGGGCAGCCAATATAGAGACTCATATCTAGTCCAATTAGTGAGTAATCTGTTCTAAATAAGACTTCTGTATAAATCCCACAACACTCAGAAAACACCACATAGACAGGGCCAAAAAATGGAGGGGAGTACTGCAAATGCTGCCTTCTGGACATGACATGGTCACTGAATTCACCAACTCACAGTCTACGATAACCTGCAAAAAACTGCCCAGAAACAAGCCAGTGAATAATCCCAGCATGGTTCAGGGAAGGGATTCATGAGGTTCCATCCCTAGCGTGGAGTTGTTGGCAACTGGTGACTACTGGAGGAGAGGAAGTCCATTTTCTTCATGGATATGGCTGCAGGTAGGTTCCATGCTTATGCAAGCAAAGCAAATTCTATTCAGTGGTTACAGAAGAAGGAAAAGGAAGAGGAGGAAGCTGAAAATAGGTGCTGTGGATATCGCTCTGCATGCTGTGAATGTGTTGCTCTGATTGGTTAATATATAAAGTGCTGACTGACCAGTAGCCAGGCAGGAAGTATAGGCAGAGAAGAGAATTCTGGGAAGAGGAAGGCTGAGTCAGGAGTCGCCAGCCAGACACAGAGGAAGCAAGATGTGAAGGCAGAACTGAGAAAAGGTACCAAGCCATGTGGCTAAACATAAATAAGAATTATGGGTTAATTTAAATGTAAGAGCTAATCAATAGTTAGCCTGAGCTAATGGCTGAGTAGTTTTAATTAATATAAGCCTCTGTGTGTTTACTTGGGTCCAAGCGGCTATAGGACTGGCGGGTAAGAGAGATTTGTCCTGACCATGGGCCAGGTGGGACAGAGGAAAACTTCAGCTACAAATTGGTGTGATTAAAAATACATTGGAAATATGTATGAAATTGTCAAAGAATAAAAATGTTTTTAAAATAACTAAGACTCAAAAACACAACATAAATTTTAAAAATTTAAATTAAAAAAAACACAATGTTTTGTTTTCTACTAGAAATATAAAATCATAGTAAATGAATAAAATTTTAAAAACTCACTGTCTTCGTGTCTTGGGAAGAAATCCTACCATCTCCATGGCCAATTGTAATCGTTCAAAATCATGCCTCAAATCTTCTCCCTCCACTGTGAAGCAATCCTGCTTAAGACAAGAGGTGGGAGAAAACATATAAAGATTACCTGTTAAAAAACAATGTGAGCCATTCATTAATTTAAGTAGGCCCCTGTGTAAATGATTAGAACTAGTAGAATATTTACACATCGTCAGATTCATTAAGCCTCTTATCTGAGTACAGATAAGCAAAGTAAACAAATCTACCAAATATTAATAGTACCTTTTTTTCTTCCCTAAACAATCACCATAGCACAGGATCTTAAAATGGATAAGGCTGAGAGCTAGCAGCATTTATAAAATATATGGCTACCAAGTTTGATTTTCAGTAGCATTAAAGAGTTTTAGAGATTGAAACCATATAAGAGCACTCAAGTCCATAAGTAGATGTTTATTTATTCAACAAATTTTTAGCAAGTGTCTATCATACATAAGGCCTTGAATTAAAAACACATATAAAAAATAGTAACAGACAGTATGCAGTTGAGAAGTGAAATCTAGATTTATATATCATGAACCACCTGGTGTTATAGTGGGTATATAAAGAAAAGATAAGAGTAGCAGAAACAAATAAATACACACATCATAGCGATCAACCAAGGGGGGAAAGAAGGATTATGTCAAAATAGAAAGCCCCTCAAAAAATACATGTCACATGAATCAATAAAAGTAGTTACTGAAGGGCTAGAAAGATCACTCAGCACTTAAGAATACTTGCTGTTCTTCAAGAACACCCAAGTTAGTTCCTAGCACTGACATCAGGTATCAAACAATCACTTATCACTCCAGCTCCAAGGTATCTGATGTCCCCTTCTGGCCTTCACGGGAACAGACACACATGTTGCATACATCCACATAAACACACACACGGCCGGGCAGCGGTGGCGCACGCCTTTAATCCCAGCACTTGGGAGGCAGAGGCAGGCGGATCTCTGTGAGTTCGAGGCCAGCCTGGTCTCCAAAGCGAGTTCCAGGAAAGGCGCAAAGCTACACAGAGAAACCCTGTCTCGAAAAAAATAAAATAAAATAAATAAATAAACACACACACACACACACACACACAGAGAGAGAGAGAGAGAGAGAGAGAGAGAGAGAGAGAGAGAGAGAGAGAGAGAGAGAGAGAGAGAAAATAAATATAAACATTTTTTTAGTTGCTGAGGGATGGCAAAATATTTCAGTGGGAAAAGCACCTATTGTTCCAGCCTGACAAAGCTGATTCAATCCCCAGAAACTACATGAAAGTAGAAAAAAAGAAATAATATCTCCAAGAGGTTGTCCTCTAACCCCACACATATGCCTGACATATTCGTGGAGTGCATGCTACTCTTGCAGATGACTGGAGTTCAGTTCCCAGCACTCACATTGGACAGCTCACAACTGACTCTAACTCCAGATCCAGGAAATCTTCCAACTTTAGCAAGTATTCACATGCACAAACAGGAAGACACACATACACATAACTAAAATTAAATAAATCTCATAAATATTAAAAAATATATATATATATTTATTTTTAGTCTAGACATGGTAGCATATGCCTATATTCCCAAAACTCCAGATGCAGAGGCAGGGGAATCAGAAACTCTATGCCAGCCTGGACTGCAGAGCAAGATCCCATTTCAAAAAATATCGGGCGGTGGTGGCGCACGCCTTTAATCCCAGCACTCGGGAGGCAGAGGCAGGCGGATCTCTGTGAGTTCGAGGCCAGCCTGGTCTACCAAGTGAGTTCCAGGAAAGGCGCAAAGCTACACAGAGAAACCCTGTCTTGAAAAAAAAAAAAATATCAAACAAAACAACTTACCAATGAATTTTTTTTTAGTGTAACCTTTACATTTCACTTCATAAAATTGTCAACACTAACATCATATACACAATCCCTTCACAATGTTCACACACCACTTTATAGTGAGATTGTCAAAAATATCTCAAATTTCAACTTATTTTTAATGTCTATCTTCCTAGGGAACGTTACATTAATTAATCAATGGACAAAAAGAACTGATCTGTTTTATTCACCACAAATCACAAGCATCAAGTCAGTGCCAAGATCAAATTACTGAAAGAACTGTGGAGAAAAAAAGGGTTGAAAATAAAAACAGAAACTGCCAAACAATCAGACCCTGACTACATGGAACCTGATTCAAGTAGCCCCACAATGTCTTATGAAAACATTTAGAGTCTAACTCCTAATAATCTATGCCACCTTACCACAAATAGCCAATCTGAAGATATAAATGTATAAAATTTACTATTTAGCAAAATAGTGAGTTATGTGTCTATCTAACATATGGAAACTACACTCTCAGAGGACAGTTATTTTGCAGAGACTGTCTCTTACAGCAATGTCAATTTCCTGAATAAATCTTTTCTGTGTCTGTTCTGGTATATAAATACTTTCACTCCCATAACTTCTGAATTACACAATTGCTGAATTACATACAGAATTGAATGACCTTGAAAAATACAATATGTCTTCATTTTAAAGTATTTACATAGTATCTATCATATTTTAAAAAAAAAAATTACTAGATATTAGAATTTCATGATTACATCCTGAAATAAAGTCTAAAACTCAGGATTTAAGTTTAGAATGCTAACATTTTTTTAATTCTCCACATCGAAAGGTACACATGCACACTCTGAAAGTTTAAATTTATTGCAAAAGAACACACACATCAGATTTTCTGAGTACAAATTTCTTTTTTTTTTTTTCCTGGAGCTGAGGACCGAACCCAGGGCCTTGCACTTGTAGCAAGCGCTCTACCACTGAGCTAAATCCCCAACCCCAAATTTTTTAAAGTAACTTTTAGATGCATTCTATACAAATGCCAATGTCTCTCCAAAATAAGAGTTTTAAGTAATTTTCTTTGGCCTGTAATAAAGTCTTGTTTGTTTGTGCTTTGTTATTTTTAAGCAAACAATGCATGTTTTCTTATATGTGAATTCTACTTTTTTTTTTTTTTTGGTTTTTCGAGACAGGGTTTCTCTGTGTAGCTTTGCGCCTTTCCTGGTACTCGCTTTGGAGACCAGGCTGGCCTCGAACTCACAGAGATCCGCCTGGCTCTGCCTCCGAGTGCTGGGATTAAAAGCGTGCGCCACCACCGCCCGGCCGTGAATTCTACTTTTAAGCTTTAAATATGTATGTTTCATTTAGAATAACCTCAGAGGTTGAGTACCTACCTAGTAAGGGACCAGGAAGTGGGAAGCAGGGGTCTTCCAGGGAAGGAAAACAGAATGAGTTACATCTGTTGAGCTGGCCAAAGGGGTCCCATCAAACCTCCTTTCAAACATTACAGGCTATTTGCCAAGGCTATTGCTTCACTAACTGATGGCAAGGCCCTACTGCTGAAGACAACACTTACTTATATTGTCAAACATAGAAAAATCAAGCTGGTGCCCCACTAGAAGCTTCAACCCTACTGACTAGAGTTCATGGTGCTGGAAGGTACTCTGCACACTACAGGAAGAGAAAAGTAACCACCAATATTACCCAGCTACAAACCCTGCAACCTACAACAGTGACTTGCCTGCAGGATATACTGGTGCAATAGTGGCACAAATGTTATGACTTAACTAACCACTTCTTGACGAGCTGGAATTCATACCTGACACTGTTAAAGTGGTCAAGAACCTGAGACTAGATAGGTTTTGGCTGCTAGGGGAAAGCCTAGCTATTTTTCTGCTAAAGCAGAAGTTCTCAACCTGTGGGTCGCGACCTCTTTGGGAGTCAAAAGACCTTTCACAGGAGTTGCCAAAACCGTCCTTCATTTCAGCTATTTATTATACTACAATTCTTAACAGTAGCAAAATAGCAATGAAAATAATTTTATGTTTAGGGGTCACCACAACATGAGGAACTCTATTAAAGGGTCACAGCATTAGAAAGATTGAGAATCACTGTGCTAAAGGAACATAGCAATACAATGACTTCTAATGACATATTAATATATATCATACATAGATCAGTCATCAGAGAAACAACTTGTTGCAGTAGATAGGAACTACAAACAGAGACTGAGCGTGAGAGGCTTTGGAGTTTGCAACCCTAAATGGAATGTTTTCATCAAAGCCCTCCTCTCAAGGCTCAGGGATCTATGTTAAAAAGGATGCAAAAATATTGTAAGAACCAGAGGTGGTGGATGGCTCCAAAGTAAGTATTTTACAGACACATCTGGGATGATACAGATATGAACTCATAGAGACTGTGACAGCACAAAACTTCAAAAAGTTCAAACCAGACAAAATCCCAGAATGAAGAAGTGACCACAAAGTCTCACCACTTACCAAGAAGCTATTTGGAAATGGTAACTGCTGGGAAAGGGAAAATCAGTTTTCTCAATGGAGTGACACTGGGTATATCAACACACTCCAAAACAGGACCCATGCCCAGGAGGAGTTGGCCAACACAAACAGGACTCCATTGCCTTATTGGGTTTTTGTTTTATTTATTTTTTTGTTTCTTTTCTTTTTTCTTTGGGAGAGAAAATATTCCTGCTTCCGCCCCAAAGTACTAGGACTACAGATAGAAGCCATCACACCTAGTAAACATATTTAAACAGTAAAACATATTTAAAGGTTTTTTTTGTTTAATCCAAGACCTCAATTTATTCATTTTAGGATTTATCAAATATTTTCAGTAACAAGGAGGGTGTAAAAATGTTTATGAAAACTCAATGTATTCAGCAGTGATTCTTACAACGGATATGCTCTTATTTGCTTCAAAAGTGAATTCAAACAGGCACCTAAAATACTGGGGAAATAAAGTAAAAGATATGCTGAAATAGAAATACTTTCATATTCGCAGTCATTCATAATCAAATATTTTTCACTCACAATTATGATGTGGTCTCAGGAAACACCAAAATCATAATTATTTCTGGTACTGTGATAAAAGCAACTTAAGAGAAGATTATTTATTCAGCTTACAATTGCAGAACACAACCTACCATTTCAGGGAAGTTAAGGCAGGAACTTAAAGCATGACATCCACAGTCAAAAGGAGAAAAAAACTAAATGCATGAATCCTT